AATGAGATTAAAGTGTATAATTATATTTCCAAAAAAGGAATGGACAAATTATATGGGACGGACGAAAATAAAAAATATGGACAAATTATGTGGGACGGAGGGAGTATTTTTTAAAATCTCCGTACGTGATCCTCTTTATCATTTTAAAATCATAACTAGATCTTGTATTTGATTGTGTTGTGACGGATTATGGTTAATGATCTAATAACAAACAGAAAACGTAAAGACGACACAGATTTACGCAGTTCACCAACAACGTATTGGCTACCTCCACAGGTAGAAATAGAGAATAGATATATTCACGACTGCAAGGTTACAGATTATAGATTTTGTAGCCCTAAGTCTCTTTATATATAAACTAAGACAATGCATCAGACGGGCTCAGCCCAATACCAACTCCAAAGTCCACTACTGCATACCGTCGATCAGGGGCCACTCTAGGCAAGGGGGACTTTTAGAAATTTCCCCCTTGATCCCCGACTCGCTGACCGTGCAGCGAGATTTCCGTAAAAACTCAGCAAAGTGACAAATTACATTCAAAACTGTTAGAAATTTTTGGGAAAAATAATAAAATTATCTTATTGATCGTCAAAATAAAAAGGCCTATATATAGGTAATACAAAACATACTCGATAGAAGTAGTCTAATCTATGGATAAGATCAAATCTAAATATAAATCTACTAAATCTAAAACTGAATATTTAAAATATCTCAACAAAGACAGATTGGTCCTACAATTAAAAATATTTTGCAGATATGGTCCTCGAACGCCAGAGTTGTTAACGTGTTAGCGGAGATTGTATGGACGATGCGTGTAAAATATATGAGTATCATTTTAGGACCATAACGAGACCCTTGTATTGGATTTGTTCTGTAACTAAAAAATTTTGACATAAATGATCCTCAAACGTTGTCCACGTGTCATCCATACAATTCCTAGCGTGTCATCATAAACTCTGGCGCCTAAACACCATTTCTGTCAAAGTTTCGTAGTTGTGAGATTAATCCAATATAAAAATATATATATATCTTGGACAATCTCCTGTAATTTATTACAAAAGAATAAAATAAATTCAGAGTAGAACATGCATGCATGCATTGACGACGTATGATTGAATTGAAGTAAACTCTCTAATTAGTTTTAAGTCTCATGTCTGTATTCAATAAATTAATTAAGTTGAAATGGAATGATTAAATGAACTAAATTTAATACAGCAGATCTGATCTGATTTGAAATAATTTTTTTATTCTCTTTTTTTTTTTTTTTTTTAAAAAAAAAAAAAAAAAAAGAATGATCGTGTCACATGTGCCTGTGGTTTTCAGTTCCATCTGGACAGCCTGTCTTTTTTTAGAAAATTTCGTCCCATCAGTATTTCGTACAGGTTTTAGCATATTGATTTTTTATTTTTTTATTTAAAACATAAATCAATATATTTTTTTCTCAAACAATGACTCATTTATTTCTGACCACAATTATCTATGTTACGGCTTGAGTTTATAGGTTTCTTTTATGTGTATATTTGATTTGGATTTGGAAAATTTTATTTATTCGATAGATAATAAATATAAAAATATAAATATGTATTAAATTTAAAATTTAAAAAATAATAATAGTATGTTTGATAATGAGTTTATGTTATATACTTATATCTACGTATATATTTTTAAAATTTTATTTATTTGTATTATAAAAAAAATTATTATATATAAAATAATATACATATTATATATATTATATTAAATAATAATGATTATAATTATTATATTATTATTTTATTATCATATTGTAAGGTAATTTTATAAATATCAAATGAAAAAAAAAAAAGAAAGAAGTAAAAGTTGCGCATACTGCAGCACAGTCGGCCGAAGAGGAACATAGGTGGTGTGCGGGATTTTTACTGTGTACAGTAACTCCACGGTAAGAATCTCACAAACCACCTCGGGAAACATACCTTTAGTTTGAGAAATTTTGCTTTTTAATTTGGTATTAAAATAATGTAAGAGATGATATTTTGTGAAAATGTATTTTTTTTCGAAAAATACAGAATTCATCAAATAGTAAAAAATTGAGGTTTGATGGTTAAAGAAACACACTCATAGTATGTTGGAGACTCTCGTTTGTGGATAAATAAATAATTATTGTATTTCTTTAACTGTTCCAACTTTTAGGTGAAACGGTCATTCGGCATCCAATATAGTATACATTAATTCAAAATAATTAAAAGAAATTAAAAATATGTAATTAAAATATTTGTAAGATTATATGTCAATAAAATATAGAAATATTACATATTATGAATCATTTTATAGATAATAAAATTGTATATAATACATATAATAAAAATATATATTTAGTTATAATTAACTTAAATTAGTTTTACAAAAAATTAAACATAAATAACTATATTATTTAGAAAAGATATAAATAGAGAAATCTTAATATTAAAAAATTAATTAAATTAATTTATATTTGTTAAGTATATTTAAATAAATAAATTTATTAAAAATAAACATATAGAAGAGAAAAATAAAACAAATAAATCATCTATCTTTGCAGTTAACCTCTTCTGAGGTTAATTTGTTTTTTTAACCAAAATTTTCCAAATTACTGCGATTTTTCGAAAAAAATATATTTTTTTTCTTCACAAAGCTATCTCATCAAACATTATTTTAATATCAAATTCAAACTAGTATTTTCCAAACTCAATCAAAACAAACACACCCTTAGTAACCTAGATAGACAAAGGTAGCATATTTAATTTAATTTTTCAATAAAAATATGCTAATTTATTTTACATAATATTTTATTAAAATATTATTTAAATAAAAAAGTATATTTTGGGTTCCTCTTATCTAGGACCACAAAATAATACCTACATTGGACAATGCATCACTTCTTCTATCCAGCCCATTTGCCTTCTTAAGTCATTGCCCTTCCTTTAGTTTTGTAGCTGGGCCTCATGGCAAAGCTTATGTCATCTTCTGGTAACGAAAAGGATGACTTAAACTTCTTTAAAATTTGAAAATTTTAAATTCAAGTTATTCAATTTATATATATATATATATATTATAACATGAAAACCTAAGCCTCTACCATAGGGATGCGTTCTCGATCGAACCTAATAACCTACAAATTAGGTCCGATAAGACAAGCTACATTGGACGAACTATATGTGGCAAGCAAGACTTGAAGGCGTCAGTTATTTTTGACCGGATAATATGTTATCCAAACAAATTTTCAAATGCCGGAATTAGAGTTGAATCCACCTTAAAGAAGGCATCCAATCATATGATCTAGAGGCAGAAAGTCGCCTAATGTCGGCTGCCTTCTCAAGGAATGGACTGAAATGAACTCATTTTACATAGAACTCTTCCCAACTAATCTTCTTGATTTTATTATTTTTATTTTTTCTTTTTTGTCAACGTTTTCTACTTAGGAACTCGTTCCGTTGGCTATTAAGACTAAGTTTTCCCACTTGGCTAAGCACCTATAAAGCCAAAAACTTTCTAAAAAGAATGCATGGAGAAAGACTTAAAAATTTTGTATTGCAAATGCTTGGATGATTTACAAATGAGAGGTGGGGGTCTTTCTATAGGGGCGATGACTCCACCTAGACTATCCTAGAACATGCTAGAATGTACAACAATGCACTATGTACAACTATCTACATGGTTCAAAAGTCTTCCAAGAGTTGCCGTAGAGTTCCACCACGTTCGAAAAGATTTCGAAATATTCTTGAGCCTAGAAACTTCCATTAAATTTGAGTGAAGTATCCCACGTACCACCATAAAGTTCTTAGTACAAGACAATCACCGTCTCAAGACCCTTCCCTAACTCCGACCATAACACCAGACTAACTTATAATTATCGATCTTCCCCAAAGGCCTTTAATTGTGGATTCATATTTCAAACCAAAAATAACTTGAGAATTTTGGGAATCGTTGTGCATCCACACTAGATCGAATCTTAAGTTATATTGATGCAGTGACGGCCGCTTTGATCCCCAAGTGAGAGATTGTTGAATTATAAATCCAATTGTGGGTTAAATATAACTAGTTGGACTATCAGTCAGGTTAAGCCTATATTAAATGGGACATCCCTTGGGGTGCTACCACAAGGAACTCTATAGGACCTCATTTGGACTGCTAATATAGGAACCGTGTGAGATCTCCGTTAGGGTGCTGTTGGAGAAACTTTGTAGAACCTCTCCTGGATTGACTTCTTTTCTATATTACTTATTGGCAGATTTCACACCTCAATAGCCCATAAAACTAAACTAGAATCCTCAGTTGATATGTATCCTTACAAAAATTGAAGTTATATTGTTGAGAATATATTCCACATTGGAAAATGTGAGATCTCCCTATGACTTATAAAGATGAAGAACCATTCCACCTATCACCAATTGGTTTTAGATTGAAAGCCCGGATCCCTTCTTAACATATACCCCCGAGGCACCAAACTCCCAAGGTAGGATTCCTACGTAATTAATCGTAAAATTACAATAGTATTGCAGAGATAGTTTCTGATTCTAGTCATTTGTAATAATATCATGTGTGGCATCGTATTCCTCATCCTATTGTAAAGCTTCTATAATTGGTTTATTTTTAGGTACTTCTACTATTCTAAGGTCTCTCACAAGCCACTTGTTCTACAAGTTAACCCAGATGAATAAAATGCTAAAGAAATAAAGATAGAATAATGTTTTTTTGATTTGGGAAGATTTGATTTAGATTTTATATAATGTTTATCCAAAACACACTGTTTTAAAAAGAGTTTATCAAAAAAACACCATTTTAAGTAAAAAGTAATCAATTTGTTCACTAAGCATTTCTCAATGAATAATTCCCCATAAATATTATTGAAAAAATGCAAATATACACACCTTAATATATAATATATCATCCACTCATAAAAAATCAACCAATCAATCCAAAATATTATTTTTTATATTACAGAAGTAGTTGTCTGTACCACACTCAAAAAATTAATTCATAAAAATGCGCTGAGTGAACATATATATATATATAATTTTTAATAGTTCAAGACAAGAAAAAGAGCTAGCAGCAGTCAGTCCAACCAAATGCATTATTATTTCAAATAAAAATAATTTTTTTGCAAAATGAAAAAGTTAAACTATCACACAACCACCAATCCAAACTTAACATTCTAGTGTCTTCAAGGATTAAAACTCGAAGCCTTCTTTGTAAGTTATAAAACTTAAAACATGCAAAATAAAATCATCATTCACCAAACAAACTTATGGGTTAAAGCTAGAACTCCAACCACAACACAATGGCAAACGATTAGAGGGGCAGATTACCAGGAAATAGATGGATGGTTGCATAGATTTCATAAGCCCTTCGTTACCGCAAACCATAAACTGTATTCAGTTTCCTTCCAATCGGAGCTGCACCGAGACATTACCTGCTGCACATTGTGCCACCATGGGCATCAGTGTTTCATTCAAACTGTACCATTGATCAAAAAGGAATAGATATTGAAAGATAAAACATCGTACCAACCACAGGGGGCACTGTTGGAAGCAATTACAGGCCAGCCAGCCGAACAACGCCTTCATGAGGAAGCCTGAAAACAACACCAATTATTTTCTAACGCACTCTAGTTAAAACAATAGAATGTGGTGTGCTTGGGAAAGTTCTTCCACCTATAGTCGGCTCCTTCTGCCGCCCAAGAAGTTGCAACAGAAATTTACTACTAAAAAACACCATATGCAATTGAAGGACTGCATGGCGGAGACTATGAAATTGAAAGGAATCATTCATTCTTTCATACACATATATAGGGAGTGAGAGAGATAGATAGATAGATAGCTTTTGCAAGTTTCAATTAAATACTCCATTTGTCATCCAAACTTATTCCGACTTTCTTTTTTTAGTTGTCATCTAAACTTATTCCTGTTTTCCTTTTTAGTAAAAAAATACTACATTTTCTACTTTTCTTTACCATAAAAAGAAAAAATTTCTATTTTTATTCATTATTCTTAAAACCCGTGTCCGGTCAAATGGGCAAAAATTTACATGACGAGAGAGTTATGACTGCAAGAGAAGTATTGAGCAATTAATTAAAACACATAACTACTGCACCTAGTGGAACTCTGCTGCTATTCAACCTATTTAGGGAAGGAAATACTTATGAAAGAATTGAATATTAGATTGCACCAATCCTCCCACTAAATAAAAGACTACAAGAACCTAAAGCGGAAAACCATGAAATCACACTAAAAAATATGAGAACTTTTACCTGATGATGCCCAGGAAGTCTCCACTTCCTCAGAGTCCCAATGCTCGAAAGCAGGGAATTACGATCATGTGACTGTAGGAGCAGCAGTTCTTTAACTTTCTATGTGACTTATGCTGGATCAAGACTACTTCCATTTGAAACAACCTTAAATGCCGTTCCTTTCATAATGTGAGCGGTGAGTTGGGGTTGATTCTCAAAAGGTTTAAGAGAATGCAGGCTCCCGTCATCCAGCTCCACACCATAGATAAAAGGGAGCCTAAGAGAAACAAAACTCTCTGGTGGAAGAATAACGGGAGATCCCAAGCTAAATCGTAGCTTTTGTTCACGATCAGGAACAGAGGAGGGGAGGCAAGATGACTGCAAAGGAGATAAATGCATTAAGCATACAACCAGGTATTTTGATTTGCTGGAGGAAATAAGTTTGTATCTTGCCTATACTATGAGAATTTCACCAGTATAAAACTGGGTTGACATGTAGAACAAGTTAGTCTAAATTTTAGTGGAGAAGCAATATTTAGCAGCTTATGATATCTTCATATAAGAGATTCTAGCCTCCCTGACATTGAATGCCTCTCTAACTTGAATTCCTTATAGTCTCATTAAAAAAAAAAAAAAAAAAATACACATTATGTTATCCCATTGAGAACAATCAAAGAGTATTAAAGAAAAATAGGTATATGTATTGTTATACAGAAAAACTATGAAAGAAAAATTAAATTATACAGGTCCATAAGGTATATGTATTGTTTCAAATAAGTCAAATAAAATGATACCAATTGACATGATAAAGAATTATTGAATGATCTACTTTGAAAATAATTTATGACTCCCAAAATTGAACCAGGTGGTAGGGGGAAGGGTTTATCTTATAGAAAAGATGGAAATCATATTTGTCAAAACAAAGCCATAATATGTTGCTTTCTTAGACTTGCCATTATTAGAATGGCAATACATGCAGCACAAACTTCATTAAAGTGCACTATAAGAAAAAGACATAAATCATAGAGGTGACAGCACAAAAACCAACAGCCTCCAAAGAAAAACTACGCCATGTAACATCATGCGAAAAAAATCAAAAGCTTCTGTTAAGGTTGACAGCAGACTGGTAAATTGAAGTGCAGGGATAAACATAGAAAATGGTTTAGTTGTTTAAGAGGCTGAATATAAGAGTTTAGAATACAAAAGAAACATCATTTTGGCTACTGGTGAATCCACCCCAAAAGGAAAAGAATGGAGACAGTAGAATTGCTCTCCAATGAAAATATCTGTTCACTAATTGAAGCTTAAGTACTTAGAAAATAAGCTTCCTTCTCAATAGGGCAGATATTTAAATCCTAAGGTAGTTCTGTCACCATCCGTGTTTAAAACTAAAATAAACATGACATTGTATAAAATAATGAAACTGTGTCCCATTCATAGAGTATTATAACAATGATAAACTTAAAAATAAATCATATTAGAAACTTACCATAAATCTATAACCAAGATTAAGCAATTATCTTATGTTGAAAATAAAATAAAAAGTAATTGATATAAGTATATATCCATAGGTAGCCAATTCCAAAAAATGCTCTTCTACAAGTCTTACTTGATGATGTCCAAAAATGTTTATATGCATAATTGCATAATGTTTACATTTTGGGAGAATTTATTAGTTGTTTATTAATAATAAAATCAGGGTTTATTTTTAGACATGGCACAATCTAGTATATATGCATGAGTAATAACTGAAAATTCTAAATAATATTAACCAAGATATATATCTAATATATATCACATAACAATACTATTACTGCAGCCTCTATATTATGATTATGAGAAGGTACCTCTGTTTACATTAAAAACCAGGCGAGAAGTGTTGACAAAATATATATGGTCTGCATAAAACTTTTGTTTATTTGTTCATATTATAATGATAAACACTAGTCCCAAGCTTCACAACATAATAAAATTAGCTGAAATACCCAATAATAATAATACATACATACATACATACCTCAAATTGTATAACAGGATCTGCAGCTAACACAATTGGCAATGATGGTGTTACCTAAACATCCAAAAAAGAGTGTTTAGCATTTTACCTTTACTACTTCCAAATTGGACAAAAGGTATCTCAGCATGTAATAACTTTACTAATCAAACAACATGCAACCAAAGATGGGAAGACACTGATATAAATTAATAAGGACCCTGACAAGAAAGAATTTGATTAGAATGGCAGCATGGTGTCTGCTTCAAATGCCATTTCACAAACATCTACAATTGACACTGTATAAAAGAAGCCTTAAGAGTAAGAGAAATGTATAAAAAGGTTACCAAGCAATGAACTCACACAAGGGAAAGGAAATTAGAAAAGGGGCAGCATAAATGGCTGGTATATAAGACAACACACTAAAGAAACCAACATTACTTCCTCAAACCAAATAGCATATGCTTGGGAAACATTAGCACATATCAGGGGATATGTTAGGCAAGTATGGGGAAAAGCCAAAGAAAACGCATGGAATCTATCTACCCAAAGGTTGTTTTGTCACCCTAGGAACATATTCGGTCATTCTTTAAAAAGAAACTTTCTAAAGTATAGAGAAAGGGATAGTAGATATCAAATGTAAAACAGGAATGAATGAATGAATACCACAAAAATCCGCTGCAGCTGAGAAATAGTGCTTGGAAATTTGACATTCGATGTTTGAGTATTGGCTGTGGGGTCCATACAACGCGGACAATGCATATATATTGGCAGGCTTCTATTCAACAACGAGAATGCACAGCTACCATCCTCAAGAGTAGCAGATTTAGAATAAGAATCATGATATTTATCATAACCGGGAACTTTGTTATTCTCATTTTGATGCTTGCATCGTCCTGTTGATTGCATGGTTTTATTAGGACGCATGTTTCCGTTTGCCAATTTCTCTGTATTCTTTGCCCTACCACTATCGCCAATCATAATTGTCCCATTTGACTGCCGCCTGGGTCTACCATGAAAACCATTTTTACCCAATTTACCATGATCCTGTCTTTTCATAGATTTTTCCACTGAAATTGGGGTCACATACTCTTCAGACTCTGAATATGATGACCCAAGACCATCGAGGTGATCCAACGTTAATATAAACCTGTGGCCATGAGGACACTCATGTTCGAACCCCATATATACAGTGGCATGACTCACAGAGCTTGCACCATTAAGTGATTCACGGCTTTTCAATTTAACAGGAACTCCATTGCTGCCAAGGCATGGAAAGGGATCTCCACATTTATTGGACTCACCAGCATTATCATTGTCATTTAAAACTAAATGGACTGAATTGAGACTTTTTATTTTTTGAGATTCTTGATGGTAGGCATTCTCATTGAATTTGTCCAGACTCTTTTGCTGAGAAAGGTGTAGTTTGACACTTTTATCAGATTCTATTAATGGTTTCTTTGTAGAGGAGAGTGGAGGAAATCCAGAGTAAGCAGCACCAGACCCAGCAACAACTTCAGAGAACTGTTTTCTCATTGCAAAAGCAGGTAACTGTTTATTAGCATTTATAATTGTCCCATTGATTCCATTCATATGTGAAGAGAGCTTTACTTTCTCTCCAGCTCCATATTGATTTCCACCAGCACCCGACCAAGCAGCATCAGAAGCATGACGTTCACCTACCACTGTTCCAACTTTGGCATTCGTATGTGCGGAAACTAGGTGGGAGTTGTCAAGCATAATTTTATTAGTTTCTGACTGCTTTCCAAGAAATACAGGCAACCAGAGAAGAAACTTCTGAGTTGCAGAAAAACCACTTTGGAGTAAACCTCTTGAAGGGTCATAGTATCGGGCACCCCCAATCCGAACTAATTTCCATGATGAAGGTTGAATGGGTCCCTTAACACTTTTTTCTGGAAACTTCACTACAGGAAGAAGCTTATCACAATCAGAAAAAGTGCCGCAAGCCAGATTTGCAGTGTCATAATCAAAGGGATCAGATCGAAGCTGCCTAGAACGGCCACAAGCACAGGCATGAAGATATACAAACCCACTGGAATGAGGTTTAATCTCATTGGCTGAAAGAGGTTCAACATTATGCCTTTGATGTATGCAAGTTTTCCCAGTGAGGCTAACTGCATCACATAGTTGCCGTCCAGAATTCCAGATAGATGTGCACTCATCTTTCAGTTTTTTCACATAAAATGGAACAGATGGACCCTTCACCATAGAGGTCAGGGAATGCAAGGCCTTATTCAAATGTTCCTCATGCTGAGAACTTGGATAACAAGGGGGCAGGCCTTCTAAGTAGACATCCTTAGCAATTGGAAATGCTTTCTCACACCACAACGTAGAAAATTTAGTGTTCAGTCCAACAGAGTTTTCCAAATGAGATATTGCAGTTTCGAAAGGAATGGATGGAGTAGCAAAGTTTTCTGGAGCTGTAGGAATAGTATCTGGTTCATGCATGCTGCTGATTTCAGTATCAAATCTGAAAGCACACTTAGCAGAAAGGATTCCATTAAGAATTAGCTGAGAAGAAGATAACCAGATCTCAAAAGTTGGGAGTTCAGGAGAACTTATCGTCCTCACAGAAGCAACTGATGCAGAGGTAGAAGCTGCAGCAGCAGCAGCGGCGGCGGCAACCATTCCAACACCAGCAGCAGTTCCACTGTTACTGTTGGCAACAATACTACCCCTCCCTCTTAACAGATCGGACTGCCTATGGATGAACTCCTTCACCAATAAAATGTCCCCTTTGCTTGTAGTTTGGTGATGACTTTCAAGCAAAAGAGAATCTGGAGTTGCTTTTCCGTCCAATACTTCTTCCACAAGGCCAATTGCAAACTCAAGAGATTCACCACTCTGGCATGAAGAAGCATCTATAAGTGAAACAGCCTTTGATGCATCAAGAGAAAACAAAGGAGCTGAACCAGAACCACCCCCATTCCTTGAACCAGAGTGGCTGCTTTCAAAAAATAGAAGTGTTCGACACTTTTTAATGGAAAAACGAATTTGTGTCTCAAGGGATGATTGTAATTTCTTTCGTAATCCACCTTCAGATTTGTTCACAGGTCGGGCAAGAACAAGAACAGAGCCAGATCCTTTTGTGGGAAGGCCTGATCTTGATGAACTGTTTGTAGATGAGGATGAACTTGGCTGAGAAGTCTCTGAAGTCTCTTCAATAGTTCCAGTAGGGTGACTCTCGGAGAAATCATCAAGAAAAACAAACAGTAATACAGGAGTACATTGACCTGGTAGCAAAGATGTATAAGAACCTAAACCTGACATTACTGCAATAGCTGAATTGTTGCGGTTTAGCATCCCACGGCTTTTCCCAGGAGTTAGATTTGGCGATACTCTGGAAGCAGACATATTTGAATGAGCAGAAGGTCTTTGTCTGGATTTTCCTGGTGATAAATTTTGTGATCTTACGTATGGAGCCAAAGCATGTTTAGCAGCTTGCAAAACACGAAACTTTTTCAGCAGTTGTGTATCAAACCGTGATCCCTCTTGAATAAATATTAATATATGACAAACCTGCATAGCTAAAGTACAATCAAAAGGCTGGCTAAGATTTTTTTCCCCCTAAAATTGACAGCAAGAGTAAAGCACGATTTTTGGCAAACACTTGTCATTTAAGTTGAATGAGAGACATATTAGACTTATATATTGAATTTCTAAACTTACCAGCAAATAGAAAATCTAATGAAATGAAAACAATTTCGCCTTTAATGCCATAGGTCCTTCGGCAAAAACATTTCCGGCGATAGTTCCAAACATTTATAGATACTTCCAAATAAATTGCAAATTCGTCATGTGACGTGGTCACTCGTGCAGCTATAAGTTTGATCACAACATATAATCATTTATTTGTCACATGACGATTCTATTAACATAGGGCAAAGGGGTGCAGGCGCTACAAGTACGACAAATATAGGAATGTCCAAGCCAATAAAAACATTACATCACAAGAAAATTCTCAATTAATGTCCTCAAATTGCTTCCAAAATAACTGGATTCTTATAAAGAATTCCTTTCATGGGAAAGCATTGCCAACAAGTCTTAGTTCCTATGTAGAATAACCAAAACCTAGGTGAGTGAGCAGATGAACAGCACAACATTAAAAACCTATAATTCTTATTCTTGGTTTGTTAGCTTGCACAAAGAACATTAAAATTAGCTCTCAGACTTTTCAATGATTTGACATCTGAATAAGTCCCCGTTTCAGCCACACCCAGACATATTGATATCCAACTGAGCTCCAGCAGTTGAACTTACTATTACACTTTTCATGGCATCAAGAGGATCAGAAAAGATTCGAGGTTTTAGTCAACAAAAAGTGATTCTTAACACTACTAAAAGTTCTAGTTCAAATATCTTCTTCCTTCTAACCACTATTGCCAAATTGCTGCTCTACACTTACTTAAACGCTACTGAAGAGCCAGACAAATAACTCAAAGCTACTGCTAAGTAACTGCAACGAAATAAAAGGATACCAATAAACAAATCAATAACACTTACAGAGAACATAAACAGCAACCCTTGAAGATCACCGAACTCCCGGTCCTCCAAAACGGACCCACGACAATTCCTGAACTCCAACAATTCCTCCTCACTCATCGGACAACGAACTGATGCGAACTGCAAGTACAAAATCCCCTGATCCTCATCATAATAATAGCTCAATTTCCTGCTCTCGAACCATCTAGTCATCTCTGGATGGATTTTCTCGGGTTCCAATCGAATCGAGGCGTCCAAATTCCCACTTCGGAAAACGTGAGAGTCTACTACTTTATTGATGAGAGGAGCCACGTCTTGGTATCGCCTCCCGACAAATCCGACGACAACGACGCCGTTCTTTGGGTTTGGCGGTGGCGGCGGCGGCGGCGGAGGGGCTTGAGGAGTGATAGGAAGGGTTGAGGCGGAAGGAGGACGAGCAAGCACTCTGATGGAGTGCGAATCCATGAAAATCGATGCCTATGCCTATCCCTTCGCCGTCGTATTAGCTGTTCTGAGCTCGAGCGTCGGCACGTCTGTATTTGATTGCGCTGATGAAAGTAGACGAAGGACTGTACAACACAGGAGCCCCTGCCTGAATAAATTGAAGCCCGGCCCATTTAAAAGCTCAAATCCAAATCTTGGAACTAATTTGTGTTCGTTTATAAAACTTTATTTAATTTCTATTATTCATCAAAAGATTTCTCCTAAAAATATGGAATCACATATTTATGTTTTACTTTTTCTATATTAAAAATTACATTTATATTTTGTATCATCATATTTAATATTAAAAATATTTTTATATTTATATAATTTTATTTTATTTTTACAAATATCCTATTAGTATTATAATACTACCTCCCTCCGTCCCATAAAATCGGTAGCAGATGTTTTTAATATTAGTATTATATTAGTTTATAGTAAAAATGACAAAAAATGCCCTTATTAGATTGTGTGATATAAAAGTAATGGTATTTGTGTAATATATTAGAAGTTGCAAGGGTATTAATTATATTAAGTATGCAGTACGATTACTAAATTAGAAAATTGTACTCTTGTTTTGGAACGGACAAAATTATAAAATGGAGGGAGAGAGTAGTATTTTTTTTATTTTAATATAATAATTAATATTCAAATATCAACATAGAAAGTAAATAGGATTCTTAGAGCTTTGACGGGAGGTAGTATTAAAAGTTAATGACATTCAAAATATTGTACCAATACATATTTATATCATATTATATAACTATTCAAAATCAAATTTTTTTACTATTCTAATTTCAAACCAAAATTCAGACTCCAAAACAATATCTTAATTAATTTTTTCTCCGATTTGCCTGTTTTTCGTTTGATTTAATTTAATTTTCTTTAATAAAATCAAGTTATCGATTAAATGGTCATATATAGTTGTCGTAATATCTACATTGGAAAAACTACACGGGGAGATGGATATTATTTTTTACCAAAATATCATATTTCTTCCGTCCCAATACAATAATCTTATTTACCATTTTTTTTCGTTTCAAAACAATATTTTCATTTCCATAAATAATCGTATCACCATAAAACTATCCCTACTTTTTTTCTATTATTATTGCACAATTGTCACTGCTTTATACACTAATATACTCACAAGCGCAAAAAAAGTCATTTATTATTACTTTTTATCAACTACCCTATAATATAATATTTCTTAAATATCGTACCCAATACAAATAAAACTATATTTTTGGGAGGGAGAGAGTATTAAAATAAATAACTCCATCTTAAACTCAAATCGAAACCAAACAAATTATTAGTTGTGGTATTGAGATAATCATCAAACCCGCTTGTCTTCCACTGTATCCAACTCACGGTCCAATTGTCTAATTCCATCCCAATTTTTTTTTTATTGTTTGGGTTTATTTATGTGCTTTGGCAATATGATTCTCCTTAAATATTATAAAGAATATATATAATATATACATACATTTGTTTTATTTGTATATAAAAATTAATAATTCAATATAATTTATTTTTTATACTATCCATACAATATTTTCATACTTAACATAAAAAATATATCCATAAAAAAATATAAAGTTATCACACTTTTAATGTTTTCTTCATTCTTTTTATCTATTATCATTCCCGAAATAATAATAATAATAATAAAACGTCTTAATTAAAGGGATCTTCAAGTCTTTTTATCAAGCAAACATATTTCTTTTATTTTTATCAACACACGCACATATTTTCACACATTTGACGGAAATCGAACTCCTAACCTCAAGCATACCACAGGACATATAGAAACCATCGAGAGCATAAAAAATATCAAGTCCCAAAAAGTACCGAACAAGACCCAAGATTTTCATTTCAAACTACTGGCTGTAATATGTTTGTAGATCAAAAATACCAAAACATCATCTCTTGTGATGATCATATCGTCAACATAAAGAAATAGAATGACGATCCATAAAAAAAGAACGACAAATAAACAAATCAGAATTATGACTACTAGTAGTTAACCCAAACTCCAAAAAGATAGCTAAATATGACCTATCAAGCTTGAATGGTATTCTTCAACCCATATAAAATTTGGTGTAAACGAAAAATCTTCCCGAAAAATGAGAAACCTAGAGGATGAGTTATATAAACTTTCTCACTAAGAGTGTCATATAAAAATACAATTTTGACATTTAACTGAAGAAAAGACCAACGACAAATAACAACCCAAGCGAGCTTTGTAGTGCTCAATAGAATTATTAGAAGGCAAATCAACCAAGTCCTATACGTGAGTCTTTTACTCTTTTCTAAGGTTTACAATTCTTCAACCATAATTTTTTTGTCGCAATAGATCAGCACTCGTCCCACAAAATGTCCTAAGTTCATGATAAGATAAAATGAAAAAATAGTAGTGATAGTCAATAAAGTGAGCAGAGGGTCTATTTACATGAATAGAAGACATCAGCTCAGAAGATGCAGATGGATCAACTTCAGGAGACGATGGTAGTGTTGACTTATCGATGACCTGTGGTGAAGAGAAAGTAGAAATGTTATAATCAAATATCATAGGGAGTAAATGGAAATAACAAACAAGACAAATGAAACGGCATTCTAGACTTCAACTGATGGAGAAATGAATGAGTTATGAAAATATAATATGACGGGATATATGTAATCTATTAGATATAGGATTATAATACCTATAGTCTTTGTGTTCTACTACATAACTCAAAAAACAACATAAATGAGTCGTTGTAGCTTTGTCCGCTCGTAAGAAAAGAGAATAATAAAATACAAACAAACAAAAGAATGTAATATACTATAATTAGGGGACTGATCATATAATCGCTCCAAGAGACATCATGGAGAATAGACTAAGGTAACCTATTAATAGTATAAATATTAGTCAAGGTTGCTTCTTCCAAAAGCGATTAGAACATTACAAAAAGAAAGAAGCAATAAACATTACCGAGAATGTGACAGAGAGAATAAATGAATTTATTTTTTTATAATAGAGAGTAATATATTTTCTTCGTCTCAATTCAAAGAATATTTTGTCGGTCATACTTCAAAGTATCTATTTTCTATTTTAAAAAAAGTAATCATATAATTAATATCAAAATACCTTTAACTTTTACTTAAATTACAAGCATATCATTACACATACAATTACTTTATACGTAAAGTCAAACGGCAAAAATATCAAAAATTTTTACATACTTCAACTAACTAATAAAATATTATTATTTTTTAATTTATTACAAAAACTTCAAAATGTCGAGTTGAATTAAGAAGAAGAGAGTATTATTTTTATTATATCATTAAATAAACATTTTATAATTCTTCGGTCCCACTTAATTTGTATACTATTTCTATTTCCGTCAGTTTCACATAATTTGTCCTTTAATATTTTGGAAATACAATTATACATTTTAATTACATTTTAAAATTCATAATTTATATATATTTTTATTTTAATTAAACTATTTAGTCATTTTAATCTAAAATTATTTTTATTAAATCATAATTATTTTTACTAATTACATGATATCTAAAACTTCGTGCCTATTTAAATGAGATAAATGGCAGTAGTATAATTTAACATTTTTTTATATAAATAAGGTAAGATATAGTGGAAAGGTCTCCGGTTCATTTACTACAATGATGCACACCACACGATCGCAGACATGTTTTCTGTGCTTCTTTAATACTACTACAATTTAATTTAATTTAATTTAATTTAAAATTAATTACCAAATAAGGTGATGGATGGAGACTGCCTCACTCTCGACTGAGATATAAGTTGGCTCCCTTAATTAAATATTTTAATTAATATGATTTGAGTTGATATGATGTTATTTATTAATTTAATTTAATTATTAATTTTCTACTCCAAACCCCACTTGGAAGAAGTGAACTAATCAACTACACATATACATATATATATATATATTTGCACTTGCTGTTTGGATAAGAGTTCTCTGTCACTATAGTTTTAATTGGATTTGACACGACATTTAAGAAATATTGATATTATATTGATAGTTGGTAAAAAGTACAGATAAAAATTTTTTTTGTCCTTACGAGTGTATTAGTGTAAAAAGTAGTAGCAATTGTGTAATAAAAAAAAATAAGAATAGTTCTATGATGATATAGTTATTTATGAAAATAAAACTATTGTTTTGAAACAGACAAAAATCATAAACAAAACTATTATATTGAGACGGAGAGAGTAATAAAAAGCAATATTTTTTTTTTGGAAAGAAATAAAAATATTTGATGAATAGTATTACAATTTAAAAATATGTATATAAAAAGAGATTTAGTTTGTGTTTATTTTTAGCTTGGATTGAGTTTTGAGATTTAAAATTTTGAATTTTTTATTTAAATAATACTCCATCCGTCCATTTACAATGTTTACATATTTTTATTTTGGGACGTCCAATTACAAAGTTAATATTTCATTAAATATCCTACTTTTTTTCCACAAATACTCTTATTTTACATCACATTGTTACTTTTATACAAAAAAGTAAGGGCAAAAATATCATTATACTACTTTTAACTACTCACTATAATTAAAATACTATTACTTTTTAAACATCGCGCCAAAAGTAAATATAAACCTTGAAAATGGACGGAGGGAGTATTTGATGTAATATTTTGTATAATAAAAAATTATATATATTGCTAATTTTGAGCACTTTATATGTATATAGTACAATAAATAGGTGAATAGATAATTATATCCCAAAATTTTTAATATTACTTTTGTTCTATAAAGAGAATATATATATTTTTTTTTTGCGTCATTGTATTTAACGATAAAAGTATTTATATATTTGTATAATTTATTCTACAAATATCATTGTATTTATATTATAAGATACTAATAGAAATATTTTTGTTATTTTTTTTAATTTGTACGACATATTAATATAATAATTTATTTAAAAATTTATACCCAAAAAAATTCGAGTACTCTTTTTATAGGATGTAAGGAGTGATATTTATATGTAAGTTAATTATAGTATCGTAATAATATATAAAATATAATTTATTTTTTTAAAAAAGATAATGTGAAATTTGCAGATTGATTTTAAATAAATCAAAATGACAAAATTGGAGGAATAAAAGCAAACAACATGAAAGAAATGAAAGAAATCTGTTTCGTTAGACCAATTTTTTCAAACTTTATTACTCCCTCCCCGGCCGACGTAAAGTTGTCATTTACTTTTTGCATATAGATTTTTTAATATCAGTATTATAATGAGTTAGTAGAGAAAAAAACGAAAATATCCCTATTAGTATTGTGTAATATAAAAGTAATGACATTTGTGTAATATAATGTAAATTGAAAGGGTATTTATTATGTTAGGTAGGTAGTACAATTACTAAATAAGGAAATAATAACCTTGTTTTGGGACAGACGAAAATGAAAAATTGACAACCTTTCAATAGGACGGAGAGAGTATTTTGATTTTGCATTTTTCGAAAAAAAATACTCCCTCCGTTCCGTAACAAAGTATCCATTTTTCTATTTTAGTCCGCCCATAACAAAGTATTCATTTCCTTTTTTAGTAACTGTATTATTTATCTAACATTACAAATACTCTTACAACTTACAATATATTACACAAATATCATTACCTTTATATCACACATATTAATAAGGTTATTTTAGTCATTTCTACTTTATTCCTACTATATCCCAAATATAATACTAATATTTTTAAAACTACAAATAGATACTTACTTTTGGGACGAAGAGAGTACATTTTTTTTTCTACAAAATATCTCGTCAAACATTATTTTAATACCAAATTCAAATCAAATTTTCTCAAACACAATTAAAAGAAACAACCCACACCCACACACACACTTACAACTGCATTTCATATGTGTATCTATCTATATGTATATGTGTATATATATATGTATATGTATATGTAGTAGATGAAAAGAAGTTATGGGTTTGCTTGAAAGCCAACCGAATCAATCTTCACTTCTTGTTGCCTCTCTCTCTCTATATATATATATAATTGATTATATATCAAATAAAGGAATTAAAAATAGTAGTAATAGTTTTCTTAAAGCTAAGTATAACTACAACAAGAGTGGGTGGAAGAGATATATATATACACATATAGATATATAGAGAGAGAGAGGAGTGAATGAGGTGGAGCATGCTTATAACGTGCCATCCGCCCCTTCTTTTCTTTTTTTTTTTTTTTTAATTAATTTTATTTATTAATTCTTTTAATTTAATTTAATTGCGTTGTACCCCCTCCGCCCCCCGCGTATGATATATCCATTTTGTTACGGACACGGTATTTTAGATAATGTAAATTAGTAAGTTATTACTCTATTCGTCTCATAATTATGTATCAATTTGCTTTTTGCACATAATTTTAAAAATATTAATATTATATTGGAATGCAGTAAGAATAAAGTAGAAATGACTAAAATAACTTTATTAGTATTGTGTGATATAAAGATAATGATATTTGTGTAATATATTGTAAGTTGAAAATATATTTGTAATGTTAGGCAGATAGTACAATTACTAAAAAAAATGAAATTGATACTTTGTTATGGAACAAATTAAAATTGAAAAATAGATACTTTGTTATGGGACGGAGGGAGTATATTAGTTTATTATTTTTCATATGATTAGTGTTGTTGGTATTTTAATGGTGTGTTTGTTTAAGGGTTTGGATTTTGAATTGAGATTTGAATAGTAAAAATTTTAAATTGGAATAGTGATATGATGTGATATAAATGGATGTTGATGTGATATTTTGAATGTAAAATTAACTTTTAGTATAACATAAAAAATAAACAATAGATGTTTGATTTGATATTTTTTGGGAGAAAAAAAATTGATGAATAGTGGAAATCTTTTGAAATCCTCCTAACAAAGACACCCTTAATATTTTTAGGATTATATCTCAATAGAATATATGCAAAATGAATATCATTTTATACATAATAAAATTTTATATAATACAAATAAATAAAAAAATATATTTATTTATTTATAATTAACTTGAAATCAATTTTATAAAATACGAAAAGTTTTAAATATAAATAAAAATATTTTATTATGGGACAGAAATAGAGAAAAGAAGAAAAGTGGATCAATTGTATCGAATGGGAGTAGTATATAACTCAAGAGTCAATTCTAAAGATAATTAAACTTTAGAGAATAAATAATTTTATTAATTGATTTTAATAAATAAATAAATAGCTGGTTACCAACTTGGTTACCAATAATAAGGTAAGGTTCATTTTCAAACAAATATGGTTCAGCATTAGAGCATTAGTTGCGAAAGAAAGCTTTGTTGTTCCTTATTTCAGTGTTTCAGCTTAAACTAAACTAAACTACACCATTATTCTGTTATTTGTTGGAAAGTAAAGGAAAACCCACTCCCTCTTACCCGATCCAGGGACTTCGAGTCCCGCTCATTGGCGGGTGCTCCGGCCCCGGGACCTCCCCCGCTCTACTGCTGAAAAAGCAAGCAAGATTGGTGGCTATGGTAACTGACTGTCACGAGCAGGCTTCTCTCGCTCCATACGTATACGTGGGTGTATGTACACCCACCCGTATATATATATATGTATGTATATATTTTGGAGTATTTATTTCATTTGCAGTAGCGCTCAGTACTATTCCATTCACATTTTCTCTCCACTTAATTTCCCACGCCACACTCGACGGACACTCCGCCACGCTCGATTGTGTTACGTTGATTTGTGTGAGATTCAATTTTTCCGCTGGAATTTGTTCTTGAGTTTTGTTGATTTGTGTGTGATTCAATTTTTCCGCTGGAATTTGTTCTTGAGTTACGTTGATTTGTGTGTGATTCAATTTTTCCGCTGGAATTTGTTCTTGAGTTACGTTGATTTTTGTGAGATTCAGTTTTTCCGCTGGAATTTGTTCTTACGGATTGGTTACGTTGCGTTTGGGGATGGATGTGGAGTTTGGTGGAGAGTTTTCTGGTTCGAATGATCGGATGATCGTTAAGCGGAAGCGGAGTCGGCGGTTGAGGCAATCGCAGTACTGCACCTCGAGCAGCGGTGATGGCGGCGACGCTATTTCGCAGGTTTCGTCGTCTCCAACGACGTCTACGAGCGCGGAGACGGAGGATGAGGATATCGCTGCGAATTGTTTGATTTTGCTTGCTCGCGGCGGTGGAATTGGTTTTTTGCCGCCGGCGGCGGCGGCGGCGGCGGCGGCGGCGGCGGCGGAGGAGGAGGAGGAGGAGGAGGAGGATAAATTTAGTAGCCGGAAATTTACGGAAATGGCGACGACTACGACCGGTAAAGTCGGAATCTACGTTTACGAGTGTAAGACTTGCAATCGAACCTTTCCTTCGTTTCAAGCGTTAGGCGGACACAGAGCGAGCCATAAGAAGCCTAAATCCTCCGATCAAATCGACCCGAAGAAATCACCTCCGCCGGCGCCGGCGTCTCCACCGTCTCAGAGTTATCAACACGAAGAGCTCACCAAACTAAACACGAAGACAGCTCCGGCGGCGTCAACGCAACCGACGGAAATCAACAAACACAAAATCCACGAGTGTTCCATCTGCGGATCAGAGTTCGCGTCAGGCCAAGCGCTCGGAGGTCATATGAGAAGGCACCGTCCAGTAACCGCTGCCAAAACAGGTAACACCGAATCTTCATCTTCATCGCCGCAGGACAAAGGCAGCAGACCTGCTCTGGCATTGGATCTCAACCTGCCAGCTCCACCGGAGGACGAATTCCATCCGTTTTCCGCATCATCCAAGCCGCAGTCGCCGCCACACCTCGCCTTCTCCTCCGCGCCGGCGCTCGTAGACTGCCACTACTGAGCTACTACAGCAAAACTGCATTAAATCAAGGCAAACAAATCTCAATCTCAATCTCAATTTCAATAATTCACAAATTTTATTATCCTTATTATTATCATTATTGTTCTAATGAATTCATTGAATCTACACTCTCATCCCAACTGTTGTTGTTTCAGTTTCAAGTAATTAATCAAAAACTAATTAATTAATTGTATTCTTTGAGTGAGTGATTGAATTTAAGTGGTTTCTATTCATGGTTGCCTTGTGTTCACGAAAAAGCCACCAACATGGCATCTTTTTCAGAATTACTTTTCCCATTATTTTAATAATTATTTATTTATTTATTTATGAGTAAGATACATGTATAGGCAAAGCCAAAAACCAGAACCAGAACCACAACTACACAACACAGCACTACACACACGTCTTCAATTAAATTAAATTAGATTAGGTAACTTTGGTAATTTTAAATCACAAAATTGGACACAATTTTAGGTTTTGGTTAGCATAGATAGATTGGCCAACTAAAAATTAGGCTCTACATTTAGTGATACACAATTGTATTCAATTAAATTAATTACATGTATTATTAATTGGGTGGCCAAAATCATTTATAATTATTAAATTTTTAGGAGTAGAGAATTATCTGTTTTCTACATTAAATTATGACAACCAATAAAACCAATTGGAAAATGATGGGTTGGCAACCGCCATTCCCATGTGTATACATACATATATATATATATATATATAAGCTCCATTATTTATTTGATTATTTTTCATCTAATTATTTTAAATTAGTAATGTGATAAAAACATAATGTTAATGATTAGCAATAAAATATATATATAATAATAATAGAGGAAATATAAAAAAAAAAAAAAAAAAAAAAAAAGCACATGGTGGCAATTGAGTGATGATCAAAATTCCCATATTCACGGGGAAAGTCATGTATAGATAGATGCTAATGCTATCATTTCATGTTTACAAATAATTATTTATGAGATTATACTTTTAATTTATAATATCATGATCATATATTAATTAGATAATCCTCCAACCTACACATAAAATAGCTTTTGGTGGTGGATATGCTCAATTTGGTGAGCTAATGTCAAACATTTTGTTTGGTATGGTTTGAGATTAATTTAAAATAGAGCGTTGATTTGAGTTTTTTTTTTTTTTGTTTAAATAGTATTTTTGATGTGATATTTTATGAGAGAAAATAATATAATTTTATTGAAAACGCTATGGAAATGAATAATATTAATTTAAATTTGAAATGGTTAAAAAAAAATGTAATTTGATGCAAAAATATGCGACACATAAAATATAAGGCACAAAAGACAACTTCATTGTTAAGAAGTAAAAAAAAAAAAGAAACTCAAATTATACTCATACTTAAACTATCTATGTATATAAGAGATTCATTTCCATGCGAATATAAGAATGTATTGAGTTATCGATGGATATGATATATTGTAAGATAAGGAACAAATTCTATCAATATGGTAGTAATATACTATAATGGAATGTTAGTAGGATCAATATACATATATCGAGATAAGGAAGTCGTCGTTGCAAGAAACTTTGTATAAACTGTCAGCAAATGATTCGCATCAATGAGAAGACAAACGATTGACGACAAGAATAGCAAAATTTATTTGATCGCTAAACTAAATATCTTCGTACTCACTAAATTTTTTGGAAAAAAAAAAAAAATCGGATAGCAATTACAAATGCCGAGGAATTTGTCTAACCATACACTCCCTATCTAACTAGTACGCATAATTAATATCATCAAATCAAACAATCTTTATCTTTACACTAATTATGAGTAATTCTTCCGAAATCTTAGTAGCCGAAAATAAAAAAAAAAATCACCTACTATTGTTCTTTGCGAGATGAATAGCACCTAGAAATTACAATAAATTGGTGAGTTGTCTATGAGAATTTCGAGTTTCAAAAACAAAACTACAAAGCTATATGGCTTTCTAAGGGTATGTTTCTTTTGGCCAAAATTCCAGCTTTTTACTATTTGGACTATGCGTTTCTCGAAAAAAATAATTTTTTTCACTCACAAAACATCCCATTATACATTATTTTAATATTAAACTCAAACCAAATTTTTTTCAAACTCATCTAAAGAAACATACCAAGCTTTGGTGGCGGCAATGTACTTTGGCTTCATTAGTTGATAAGGTTGTAATAGAATGTAAGATACATTTCAACTAATGACACAACCATTTAAAGACAAAGCTGAAAAACGATCATCGCTCTAATAAGGTCATCAAGAAAATAAGCATTAACAAATTCATATACAAATTAGCTTCTTCATCTTCCTTGACAGACATCGAACATTTATCATAAGACCCTCGTAGGGAATACCTTAAATTCACTTTATTGTGTTTTAGTAGTTTTTGCCATTATTGTGTGTATATTTGCTCGTGACACTCACGGTATGAGAAAGGTTAGGTCGAGTGTACATTCAAGGTTAACAATTACACTCGAGTGTGGAACATTTTATTATCTCCTTGAATTATTTTTCTATCTTTCGACATTTTTCATCATACTATCTAAAATGCACAACTAATGAAGTGGTGACAATTCGTATGGAATGTCTTGATAATTTTATATAAATATTTATATTGGGATAAAAATAAATTATCCCTTGGATTTCTCATACTCCAGTTCAAAAACTTTAGTCACGCCAAATTCCTTTGTTTCAAACTCATTGTTGAGAGATTTCTTTAGTTTGTTGATCAATTTGACATCGTTGGAGATGATAAACATATCATCCAAGCAGTGACGGAACCAATGGTAAAAGTTCGGAGGGTAAAATTGAATCTTTTCTTTTTATTGATTCAATGTTGTTTTTTTTATTCATATTACACCCTGACAAAAAAAATTAAAAAAATTTATATGTTTTAAAAAAAACTCAACAACATTTAATACTTTTTTTACTATAAAAAAAATTGAAAGACTAAAAATATAAATCAACAAAAGAATAAAATTTTTATGATTTTTTACATTAAAAAATAAAAAAATTAGGAGGAACAAATTACTATAAAATAAATAATTTTATTATATTTTACATAAAAAAATATATATATATTTTGAGAGCTGAGATCAGTTGACCCCCAAACCTTCGTGTAGTTCCGCTCCTGGATCCAAGTACAATAATATATAGATGATAGACTTATAAAGATTTTTTTAAAGTAGATATACTCTTGGAATATGCTCCAAGTGTATCTCAAATTCAACATGAAGTTTCCAAACTTTTTATTCATATCTCCAATTTATACATAAGGTGTTCAGTTCCTTATTCAATATAACTATGTGGCTACTTTATAAAAGTTTTTCTCTCAATTCTCTATAGAAAAATATAGTCTTAACATTCATTTATTCCAACTCAATATTGAATTGAAAATATTTCATTAAAATTGATATTCCGTTTGCCTCAGTTATCATATTCATTTTTTTATTGTCTGTCCACTTATTCTCTACTTTTTTTTTTAAAAAAAAAGATTATATACTTTAAATCTCATTTTAATTTTTTTAATTTTAATTAGACTAATTTATTATCTCAAATTTTAATCTAAAATTACTTTTATTATACGCATAATTATTTTCACTAATATATTTCTAATTATTTACTAAATATATCTCTTTTAAATTATCCTGTATATGGTAAAGGAGACACAGTAGCCGAGACCAGGGAAGTACTATTTTTTCTATTTAATTCACTACTTTTTTTTGTCAATTATTTAATAAATTTTTCATAATTTGACATGAAACATGACATATTTGTTATTGTTAATATTATTTATAATATTTCCTCCGTTTGACTCTAAGGGTCTCATTTAAATGAGACCGACAAATGAAATAGTATTTAAAGAATAGAGCTCATGACAATGTTTATACATATATTTTTTAAAATTTTGGCATTTATCTACAGTGTTTTTTTAAGAAAATCACAACAAATATAAATTTTCTTCTAGCAAAACATCACGTGTTTGTTTGGGGAGTTTTAGTTAGGTTTTACTATCGCAAAAAAATTTGTCTCCAAATATATAAAGTGAAACTCTTATTTAGACTTAAATTTTAATTTACATTCAAAATATTATATTTAATGTATATTTATATCACATCAAATAATTATTTCAATTCAAAATGTCGCTGTTCAAACTCCACAACAAATTTATTTAGTTTTTTCTTTTTATTATTTGAAATTGAATTTTTAATTTAGAATTTAATTTAAATAATATTCTGATATAATATCTTATGATAAAAAATAATATATTTTTTTTAATCAAAAACTCTAATATTGATTTGTATTTTAAAACACAAACTACACATACCCTTAATTTTTTACCATTCTCAATTTTTATTTTTTTTAATCTTTTTTCTCAAAACTTAAAAAATCTTTATCTAAATGAAGCCCATCTCTTCCATATCTATTGTTATAAAATGGGAAATAATAATACTCCCTCGGTCCCAGGCACCGTAGGGTGTAATTAGTAGATAATTACGAATGTAATAGTAAAAATAATTATCCTATAATATAAATAATTATAAATTAAGATTAAAATAACTAATTAGTTTAATTAAAATTAAAAAAAATAAAATTTAAAATGAAATTAAAATATATAATCATTTTCCAAAAAAGGAAAGTAACATGGTACGTGGGCGGCCGTTGGACATGATACGTGGGACGGAGGGAGTAATAATCATCATCGAAGTATGTACAACTCAATCAAAGCAAACACAATATTTGAGTGAACTTGATTATGCAACAACTCAGTAGGACAAAGATGTTACAGCTTCCCCATTACATAACCAAATAATATTTACTTTTTAAAAATATTATATCAAATACTAACTTTTTATTTATTTATTTTTTAAAATTTCAAAATTCCAAAAGTCTCCGAAAACCTCTGTCTAAATGGAACTCGATTCAACCTTCTCTAAAACCACTCAGCTACCAAAATGCAGACACCAAAATCGACTGGCCAGCCATTTTCCCTTACAACATAACTAAGAACAACTGATTTAGACCTGCAACTTCATCTGCCTGCCCTTCCTACAGATAATTCCAAGTTTCCGACAAAATCCGGCAAGAAAACAACAAACAGCGGACTAAAACAGTGTTTAATGTAACATACAAAGATTCGTGCCGTAACAACTTTAACTAAATCTTCAGGCAAATCACTGTACATATGGCTTAAAAAATGAAGAGGTAAAACTATTTTTAACAGTTCTGTATGACATGCTCGACAACACCAATATCTATTAAAATGAACTATCCGTTTTCGCCTTGTAAATAATTTTCATCTTCTACGAACAACAAGCCTTTTGATGTTAAATGCACTAGAGTTCGTTAATTCCGGGCTCAAATAAATTACTCCAAATCTATACTCATTCTTCTTTTTAGACCATCATCAGAATATGTTCCCGTTTTTATTTTCAGTAAAAAATATTTTTACTATAATAGACAAAAAACAACAATTATTACTCATTCTTATTGAAATTTGTGTCTAAATATTTGTCATACATTTCAAGTAAACTAATATCAAGGTGAGATATATGTCAAGAATGGAATCCGGTCAGGCATAGAACGAGATATAAGTAACACATGAACATGCCTTTTCATTTCTCTTTAACCAAATATTGCTAGAAAAACATACTAGTCGATTAAAAAAAAAAAAAAACTGCTCTGATTAATAAAAAATAAACAACACACCTCACACAAAATCGCCGCCATTGATAAATTTTGTGTCGGTTGATTTAGAATGTGCATCTCCTCAGTTGGCGTAAACAATCAACCTTACTCGAGCAGTAACTTCAGGGTGGAGCTTTAGCTCTGCAATGTATTCTCCGATTTCTCTAATATCTGGAACAGAGACAATTCTTTTGTCGATATCCCTGCAAAAGAGTTCACGAAAAGAAAGCTCAATGTACAAAGCCGAAATGCTAGAATGAGATGGTAAAAATAAATGTTAAAAAAACTCTTCTAATACAAGATATTTGTAACAGCACGCCGCAGAGTGACTTAATGCCGTAATTTTGATTTGGTAAAAAAAAAAGTACCTTCGGAGCTGGGCCTTGATTATATCAACAACATCTTGAGCAGTCACACTGTAGAATATCATATGAATGCGGATAAGCAATGCGGACATCATTATCATTACAACTAATAAAATTCGGCCCAACTTACGATCCAAATATTTGTTTGCCTTTCCCGCCCTTACGCTTCACTTTGAAACCTCCAACTGTCTCGAAAACTAGTGCAAGCTGCTGTGCTTCTTCTTTTACCTAGAATTAAACAACGAGAGTGTAACTGTCGTTGAATTATACATCTATTTATGCTACATACAATTGCATAGTTCAAGCAGGACTGGCAATTAAAATAAAAGTTTCACATGTTTGTGTGGATCACATTAAGAGTCCAAGCCAGCAATGGTTTCTCTGGGTATGGTGGAAAAATTTTCGAAGAAATTAATAGAAGAGTTGTAATACCAATTTTATCCAACTTTTCAATGGTAAACAGGTGAATTCTTTTAGATATTTTGACTGGAAATACTGACATGGAAGAAAGTACAAAACCAGCAATGCACACCAAGAAGAATTCAGATTTTTTTTCTGAAAAAATGCATAGGAAAGTAGGAACAAAAATGTATCTACACTTCCAAGTTACTATCAAAGATCGTATTCGAATGCTGTATATAGCTAAGAAAAAAAGAGGAAATTGTGCAGAAGTTATTACTCGTATCTTTTCAGCCTCGATTCTTTCCTCTTCCATCTTCATTTCCCTGATGAAAAACCAGAAACTATCAATCAGGACATATTCCATACGACTACTTTAATCGATTATTTCATCTCATCCACGAGACGCAATCACTTATATCATAGTTCATCTAATTAATCACTTGTCTTTATCTAATCGAAGACATTTATCCATCAAAGTAATCACCATCTGAATTATGTCGATGGAAAACTGCTTGTGTTCTCTTGTGGAATTTTAGAGATTTTGGACTATTCATAAAAAATTTCCTTCCAAAAATATCAAATCAAACACCTATTTTACATTTTTTTTATTATACTAAAATTAATTTTACATTCAAAATATAATATCAACGTTTATTTATATCACATCAAATCACTATTAAAATTCAAAATTTTATTATAAAAATATTCAAACCCAAAACCCAAATCCTCAAACAAACACACAAGTGATTCTCATATAGGGTATGCTTGAGAAGGCAAACACACTAAGGTCCCGTTTGGTTGGAGGGATTTGGCTTAAAGATATTTCAAATGATTTCATCAAATCCATTAGTTTCATTTGGCAAGACACCGATTTCAACCGATCTCAAATCTACAAATTTGGGTGTGTTTGTTTGGGGGATTGGATTTAATTTTCACTATTCATACAATTTTTTTCCCCCAAAAATATCGAATCAAACATCTATTTTTCATTTTTATATTATACTAAAAATCAATTTTACATTCAAAACATCACATCAACACCTATTTATATCACATCATACAACCATTTAAATTCAAAATTTTTACTATTCAAATCCCAACTCAAAATCCAAATCCCCAAACAAACACACCCAAAGTTTGTTGTGGATTTGAAATCCACTTTTTTAATATTTCGAATACTCTTTATACTGTCATTTCAAATACTTCATGCAATCAAATGATGGATTTTAACTAAGAGGGGATCACCGGCCCCCTTTTTGCCTAACACCACCCAACCCTGTCTAATACACTGAGTTTATATATATGTGATATATAAATATATAATGTATGTATATATGTGTATGTATATAATATTGTATATATTTATATATCACATATACATGTGTATGTATATCACTTCGGGTAAGGGGCTGGAAAAAGGGGGCGGTGATCCCCTCCCATTTTAACTATAAAACATTTTAAACTCGAAGTAATTCAAGTTCATTCGTTTAAAATCCACTCTGAAATCCAAATCCATCGAACGAGCCTAAACTCATTTTGATCATAAAATCTAATTACTTCCAAAGCACATAATCATCCATGAGAAAAACGTCAATCTATCATATCATTTACTTATCAATTCCCCTCCAATATCAACTATTTTCCCCGTAGATCAATTCTGCTCATACACTCTAACCTAAAACCTAATTTTCCAATAATGTGATAGCTAAAAAACAGTTCATTCGCAGGAACAATTTCAAAATTGTAAAACAAAAAGGAAAGCACAGAATCAGAATCGAATAACAGAGCAATTACTTTAGCAACGTGGGAGTCACAATCTGCGCCATGCCCATCGGCAGCAGAAAATTCCTGAAATACCCAGCCTTCACATCCATCAGCTGCCCTTTCTTCCCCAAATCGGACACATCCTCCTTCAATATGACCTGCATAAATTCAAACAAAAAATATATATAAGAATCATGAACCCTAATCCAGCACTCAACCGAGAAATCGGCATATAATACCTTGCGTATTTTCTTCGCCTTCTTCTGTGCCACAACCGTAAAACCTCGGGCTCTGTCAATGTCCCTCGTGGCACCACCTGTTCGCATTTGATTTTGAAGGCAGGAAGACGAGGTCCATGAAAGGCTCGTGGAAGCCATTTTCAGTGACTTTCAATTCTCTTGGGTGATCGATTTCTGCTTGCTCCGAAACCCCCCACGTAAAACTCAATCTTATCCTTTTTTCAGCAGTGACGTCACTCGGTTCGGTTAAGGCTTGTTTGTTAATTGTTATTTCCATTAATTTGAGTCCGCCATTTTGTATTTGCCCGTTGCTTAATCGACCTCCATCTAAGCTTGTGTTGTTTTGCATTTCTATTTTCGATTTTTTGTTTCGTTTAATTATATAAATTTCAAAAATCAAAATTAGTCTGAGAGTTTGTTCTTTTGAATGATTTTTCCAAAATTTCAAATATTTAAAAAAAAATAAAAATCATATTTTATTGGCTCATGAATGTACGAAAGGAGTTTTGATATTTTTCTTTTTTACTTTGACTTTACTATGAAATAAATATATGTGTAATAATATAGGAGTAAATTAAATAAAAATTAAATATATTTGGACATTAATATATAATTATTTTGGTTAAAATATGAAAAAAAAAATATTTTAAGTGGAACCCACAATAAAAATATTACTTCAGATTGGGAGAAAAATATATTATATAATAATTATTTTTACATTTATAATATCATATTAATATTTATTTATATCATATCATATAAATATTTAAATTATATTTTCACTATTTAAATCGCAAAACAAGCTCCCTCAATGATAACAAAATTACGGTAAAGAAAAAAAGACATCCATTCTATCTATCAAAGATAGAACGGTTAAACTAACCTAGTCGTTCGTGAACTCGGATCAATTAGGCTCAATTCGACTCGGTTAAAGCTTGTTCGCGAACGTTAACGAGCCGAGTCGAACAACATAAACAGGCTCGTTTGGTTAGGCTTTGTTCACGACAGTTCGTTAAAATATAGTACTATATTTATTATAAATATTATATATACATATAAAATTATAATTTATAAATAAATAAAATATCAATTTAAAATAAATAAAATAAAATAATTTTAAATTTTCTTTTTAATTTATATATAAATTAAAAAAAAGTGAGACAAACGAGCTTGAACGAGCTTAATCGAGCATAAACGAACCGAATACGAACACGAGCTCAAACAATAAAAATTCTTAACGAGCCAAGCCCGGAACATTACGAACAAACTCGAAAGCTTAACGAACGAACACAAACCTTGCTCGCAAACGTTAACAAACCAACACGAACACTCAAAATTCGATTCGACTCAAGCTCTAATCAAAGATGAATGTAAGGAAGAAGCAAATGAAGAAAAAGAAATGCAGTAAGAGATTGGGCTAAATGTATTTTCTTTTGTACACTAGTTTTGTTAATTTGACATAGTTTCCAATAAAATACATTATTTTTTTCACAAAATATTATATCAAAATATTATTTAAATAAAAATTCCGATAATACTTTATTTCAAATCAATTTTAAACTACAAAAGAACACAAATGTATTTAAACAAAAACTCAAATAATATTTTATTTCAAATTAATTTTAAACCAAAAAAAACACAAGTGGTGGAGCTTCTGTACAGTAGATTGTTTATGTAACTCAATTCACTGAGAGTGAAATATACAAAATTTTGATTTAAATTTGATATTAAAATCAGGCTAAGCGACAGAACAATATTTACTTAATTCTTATATTCTACTATTGTATCCTAAACTTCAATAGATGGATTAAAAGTTTAAATCTTACTTCGATGATAAACACAAATAAAATTACAAAGAATCACAGGTGTGTTCGTTTTGTAAAATTACCCTACATTTTCTTCAAAAAAATTAATATAGTACACACATTAATTATTTTTATATTCCTTACCTAATTTTTTATATATCATATAAAAGAAAAAAAAAAAACCCCTGCAAACTATTTCACAAAACAAACACACACTACATATTCCAGGTCGAAGGAAATTATTATCACAAGGCATTATGGTCGTTTTATCACCAGGGCTTTGTGGAAGAACAAACAAAGAAATGCAAAACCAAATTAAGTCTACTAATTATTTTCATCGCTATAGTAGGAAAACATCATATTCCATATTTTTATTTTCTGTACTGAATAATAAGTAAATCAAGATACCATTACACAAAAATAGAGTCGTAAGCCAATGCAATACTTTACCCAGAGAGCACCCAAAGAGTAGCTGTTGCGGGTTCTCACATTATCAAAAACAAAAAAAAAAAAGAGTCGTAAGCCAATGCAATACTTTTAACTAAACTAGTTAGGATTCTTTTCCATCCTGAATACTATACAGAACATATAATAATCGAAACTGTCAGCTAAATCCAACAAATAACAATCACAACGATTATCAATCTACCTAGTTTATAATTTTCAAGAGGAAAAAATGGAGGACAAACGATAAACTGCAGGTTAAAAATGAAGGTTCATAAGAGCGATTCATTAAAATTGTAACAGCACGCCATTGTCAACAAGTAATTCATAGATATACTAAGATTCAAGCATAAGCAGCGACCTGTTGCAAATAAACAAAAAGGCCACACCTGCAATTCCCTGAGAAGATGAGGAATTTTGTGAATTACAGCAGACCTGAATATGCTGTCTTATCTCCCGTTTCAAGAAAAGTTGGGGTGAAATAAAACACTAAAGTTACGGGAGCTCAATCTTTCCTGAGTTCTACATACTCGCGCCGTATTCCACCAGAGTTCAGTACGACGATCTCCAGCTTGTCTCCCTGTAAACACAAGCCACCCAAGTACGTAAGAATCAGAAAAGGTAGTCGTTCTAAAGGGAGTTTCTTGAACATACTAACAACGATAGTTTTAGAAATGACATACCTAAATATCTGTAAATAAAAAAGTACATAAGTCTGCATAACAACACTCATTTAAACTTCGGCATACTTAGGACTGATGGTATTAGATTTGGAAGACAATTTATTAGTATTATATTGACAATTTGAAAACTCATCAATACCAAGTAAGTTTTGGGTGGATATATTTCAACACTTTTGGTTTTATACATTAGTATATAATGTTATATAAGAAAATAAACACAATGATAGTAACTCAGTGCAACATTAGGTTATAGAGTAATGCGTTAAACTCAAATAAACGTAACAATTGGCTAAATTTTCCGCAATAAGAAAGAGTATAAAACTTGGAAAATAGCCTAAGCTTCTTGTACTATGTAAGTAGAAGATGTCAGAGCAATTTTCTGCACTAAGGGATAGACAAGAACGAGAAAACCTACAGTGTATATGTCTCTTTCTGTAGCTGATGCAAAACAAGTTTTCACCAAGTCAATAGCTTCCAACTCCGAGAGTGGAGTCACTGCATCCTGCATAAATAACTTATTATCTAGATATACTGTCGATAGACTATAGGCTCAAAAAATGGCTAAATCCTAAACCTTTGCAGGTAATAAGAGAGGACTGGGAGACTTCAGTTGGTTGTCCAAAAAGGGAGTGATGAGTGTAGCACCAGAGCCTTGGGAGCTGTATCCGACCCTTTCATAAGATCCCACAGCATCATAAGTGAAGACACAGCCCTTACCTTTAGCACAGAAAAGAAAGGTAAAGATTTAAAAAGACAAAATAAAAATAAGTTGCTGAATGTTGAGTAATAATGAGTAGTGGATCGAAAGCAGCAATTTACCCTCACTGTCAAGGCCACCCAATACATTGAACGCATAATATGGGAAGAAGCGTTTGTAGTACAATGTGTTAGATAGCAATTGAGCCATTCCAGGACAGCTCATCTGTTTGTTATGTTGGTGCTGATATATCTAGAAATAAAAAACAAGTGTCGAACTTTCACACAATAGTTCAGTCAAACACTATAAGTACTCAGTGAACAAATGGAATTATAATGCCCTATATATGTTGATGGATAGGAAAATTGATTTAATGGTAACGTGTATCAACCAATGGTGGAAGACAACATTCAAGAGAGGTAGCAGCAATGTTTAAATAACTCACCAAGTGTCTTGCAGCCAAGACCTTCTGCAGAGCTCTCACATCAGCCTGAAATCCTGAAGAGGCCATCAGAGCCTTACCAGCTCTACATAGACCAACAGACGACTCATAACAAATTCACAATAGAAAAATGAGCTAATGTAGAGAAACTCGAATGCACATCAAATAGACATAACAAGAAAATGAGCAAACAACAAAAAAAAAAGTAAAGAAAGAAAGAAAGAAAAATCCCTGTTTAGCTAACATAATAAAACAGGACAAAGACGAAAAGTGCTAAAAACAAATCAAAGGATGTTATGAGAAAAAAGACAACTTTCCTATGCAGACAACATAAACATATACAACTTCTGGAGAACGTTGAATTAGGAAAAACAGATCTTTCTGCCCATAAACTCCTGCAAGAAACTTCTCACCCTTTTCGATTGTTGTTAGTTTCTTAAAAGATAACAGCACCATATTGTATCTCAACAACATCATACATATAAAAGAAAAAAATATTGCAACACCAAACTGAAAATTAGAAAATAACTCACACAAGTGAATATTTTCAAAGATTTGAACATACAATTCAGTTTCATTTTCATTTTCTAGTTTAAACCTCTCGAGGGAGGAAGTCACATAAAAACTTTCACAATATATTCCCCTAAACTTTAAACTTGTGTTGGATATTCCACCTTCACGCCTAATGTAAACTGAAATTAAACTTTCTTTAAGTAAACAATCATCATCAGCCATGATTGAAATCTCTCTCAATAAACTTTAAAAACACGTTTAACAAAATGCAATTCGTTTATTTTTTTATTTTAATTTTTTTTTTTTAAGGCAATTCGCTACTGAACCCTAGACAAAAAATTAGCCAAATACAAAAAATAAACAAAAAAAAAAGCGAGAAGAGGAAACTTATATTTACAGCTGAGTAATTTTGGAGTAATCGCGAGTAAGAATATTGTAGCCAGTGGACATCCGAGTATCGGCCGCAATCACACAGTAATCAGCTCCAGCGATCGCGACGACCGTTCTGCAACAAATACCAGCACATATAGATATAATATCAGCATTCAAAGTAGGAAAAAAGCTTTCGCTGGGTTAAATTAGGGTGCGCACCCACCCCCCATTGTTGTCGTACGGAGACCAATTTGCCTGCTGCTTAGCCATGGAGATTTCGAATAAAAAGAAACAACCGCCGCTGAATTCCAAAGAGAAACCAATTTGATTAGGAAGAAGATCGAATCGCGACGAGGCTGTTTTGTTCTGGGCTGGCTTTTCTTCCAAGAAATGACTTTGACAGACAGGCAGACGCAATGGATCGGATTCGGGGCACCGACCCGATATAGACTATCACAAAATCAACAGATACCCAGATGACAAATATTTCACTTTTTAAAAAAAATATAATCAAATTTTTTATTACCCATGTTCTATTATATTATTATATTTACAATGTAATACTTTTTATTTATATCATGTTATATTTTTTTGAAAAAATCTTTTATATTGTAATTATATTTTAAATTTAAAATTCATATATTTTTTTTAATTTTTATTAAATTTATTAATTATTTTAATTTTAATTTATAATTATTTATATTATATTATAATTAATTTTATTAATACATATTTTTAATACTTTATCTATCATATACTTCCTAAATTTTAGTATCTACGATAATTATGACATGATATCTAAGATCATATGGAGTATTTAATTTATTTGATTTTAATAAAAATATTTTATTTAATACTCCATTCGATCATAATTGATTTATTTTATTAACACGATATTTATGATAAAGATATTTAATTTGTTAATAACCTTAAGCTATAATATTTTTTTATTTTTTATGCAATTAATTATATTAATAATTTTAAAATAAATTTAGTATATATGATTAAAAAATTAGAATATGTATTTAAATATTTTCAAAATTATTTCAAAATAAATAAAAAAATATGCAATATGAATACAATTTTGTAAAGAATAAAATTTTCTATGATACAAGTAAATGAAATAAAAGATATGTTAATTTATTTATAATTAACATAAACTAATTTTATAAAAGATATAGAATTTAAATATAATTTTATAAAAGTCCTATATAATTTATGATATTATATGTTTGATAGTTAATTAAATTGATTTATATTTGTTAAATATATTTTAATTTAGTAAGTTTTATACAAAATAGAAATACGTCAATTGTTATGTGATAAACAAAAATAAAAAAAAATGTGTCAATTAAGATACGACGGAGGAATATTATTAAAATTTAAAGTTAAATACAAAAATTAAATATAAACACAAGTTATACACATTTTGTTTCTAGACGGTGTTTCAAATCATTTTTTTTTTAAAGAACAAAAGAATAAAAGAAAAAAAAAAGTAAGTTTTGATTTTTGGATTTAGGTTTTCTATACTAAAAAAATGAGAGTGTACCCAAAATGTGACATGATGTGAGATATGTGTGATACCCAGAGTTGGGCCGGTGGTAGGCCAACTTTCGTGTATAGATGAGTTAAGGCTAGACCATCTATGATTGAATGAAAATTAAATGGATTAAGTAGACTACTTATGTCAATAATATGCAGATTCTTTTTTGGAACCCCCATTGAAATGACTTGTGTTGATACGTGGGGCTAGCCTAATCCTTGCGATCCTGGGTGTTACAATACATAAATTAGTAGATATAAGAACCTAACGCAAAGACTTGACAGAAATTGCGCGAATAATATCTAGGTTTAGACGGTGTTTGCATACTACATTTCTATTTTGTTGGGACGTATAAGAGCAGAAACGTTGGGCCTAAAAGACTTCTATTATATATAACTTAATTTTACTAGAAGATGCATGACCAAGACAAATATGTCAGTGAATGCTAGAATGATCGGAGGTGAGAGCTGCAAAGTGGGGATAATAGTGAGAGGTACGAAGAAACTCTAGCTTAAATATTCGCCCCATCTTGCGGCTTGTCCTGAGAATTTGACCTATCCGTGAATTCTAAACATATACACCATAAAAGAATAATCTAACATTAAAATCTTATTCAACTAATTGACCAATAAATATAAGATTTAATGTTAAATTAGGGATGTAGTATGTGTCAAAAAGGTATAACGAAGCGGAAGACGCAACCGGTGTGACTAATATGCATGAAAGTACCATTGGTTGTACGGATAGATGGTAATAGGAAAACAAGAGATATAGAAAACAAATTATAAGGATTTGAGATCATGTGGTTACAATAACCAAAATTGAAATACCAATAATATGTAGCTCGGTTGACGGACAAAACATAATTTGAATAGATAACATGTTTAATGATGACTTTTAAGTCCTTGAGGGTGTAAAACGAGTACTGAGGCTCACCACCACTAGCAACAACTATGACTAAGGAAGTAGCAGTTGAAGAAAACCCGCCAGTCTCCTGATGTCTTGAAATAGAACCACGTGAGTGTCTAGAAGTATAATCACTTGAACATTGAGATTTAGTAGGACAATTGGAGAAACATAGCCCTGTAAGTAGGGCCGGCAAACAAATCAGGTCAGATCAGGTTCATGTTTGTAAGCTATAAACGGGTTATAAAATATTTGACCTAAACATGACCTATTTAAATTGAATGACTTGATATTTGCAACTTTAAATTGACTTTTTATTAATCGGGTCAACTTGAATCTACTATGTATAACCTGAACTTTTTAAATTTTAATTTATAATCACAATTTTTACTAGCAAAATTTTCAAATGCATAATAGATACTTTTGAGTGGGACGGACGAAAATAGTAAAATTGTTACTTTGAATTGGAACATATGAAGTATATTAAAGCAAAAACTATTTATTCATATCATAAAACCGATATTCAAGAGTCAAATTAATAAACACTACACAATAGTACACAACATATTGCACATTCTTGCATTTATTTGAACAAACTTTACATAATATTTGGCCTAATAGTCAGAATTTTTGAAAATTATTGCAATGCTACAAACATAGTCATATGGATACTAAGTTTAGATCCATAGATGAAGTCGTAACATTTATATTGTGCAACGTCTTTATCAAAGATTTGAAGATGAGTTAAGGTAAACAATAAAGATCCCTTTTATGATTTTGGCGTAGCGTTCACCTGTTATATCATATAATGTAACACTTATTTCATTCTTTATTTTACAGGTTATCAAACTTGTAGACATTGCATGTTTTGGGGGTAGCTATTTTATCGTATTTTTATTTGTTGTGACGGATATTAAAGATGCAGAAGCATAGGAACAAGGGTAAAACTTATTTAATTTTGTTATTTACATCCTTTCTAAACGAAATTGAAGTTATTTATTTATTTATTTTGGATTCTCTTGGTACAATTAACACATTCTACTTTTAGAAAATAGATTTTGAGCAATATAGTGTATGTAAATACTAGCATGGGTCATGGAACCATTTATATTGTGAAGATTGTCCATTTATCAGAGCAAGTTCGGGAACAAAAAATTTAGATAAATATGACTATTTCAATATTCTCATTACATCTTCACAAATCACAATTATAAGGTTAGATTATCCCGTTTCACCTAAAAACTCGAACTTTTAGGAAAACGTAGTCATTAATTATTTATCCCCAAACAGAAGTCTCCAATACGCCCCCTCAGGTGCAAGTGGAAGTATACAAAACTTGCACATGCATATGCCGCAAATGGGGGCGGCGGGACTCGAACTCGAGACCTAACCTAGCTAGTATATCATGTCGGATTCAGAATGACCGTCTCACCTAAAAGCTCAAACTTTTAGGGAAACGTAGTAATTAATTATTTATCTGCAAACGGGAGTCCCAATAGGTAACCTTTAAACCATATGTACAAAGATATTATTGATGATAGCGGGCTTCATATCATAATATCTTCCATTTGTTCCATAGATTTTAATGAAAAAATGTTAGGATCAATGAGGTTTATATCAAACACCCGATGAATAACCACTTGATCAAATGATAAATGTTACGCAAGTGGCACTACTTTACCATATTGAGTGTTTTTATTAAGATGCATATCTACGAGTTGTTGGAATGCTCTAGTGTCACCCCTTGTTGGAGATTTAAACAGACCGTTAAGTCTATCAATGCTTATGGTGGTGGCTTGATGTCGCGTGAATTCTTGCTTTTAGGAACTCAAATCGTTATAAACTCTTTTAATGCTTTACTTTGATTCAGAACTCAAATCGTAATAAGCTCTTTTCAATAGTTTAGTGTGGTGGTCATCGAGTTATATGAAGGTTTTCCATCCCTGTCCACCTATCTCCACCATCGGAATTCCTTTACAGTGATATGTTACTTTGTTTTGCTTGGAATTAATGTAGAATAGTTTTACGACTTTTCTTAGAAATAAAGTATTAGTACTCTTCTTTGTTCATTTGATTTATATGTAATTCCATGTTCACACTTGAGTTATTTAACATAAATATTCGGAAAAAAAATGGAAGAACTTATTCACATTGACTCTCAGTATCTATGTGTGTGTCGTATTATTAGTAGTACTATTACTTCTTTCACTAAGTTATGATATAACATTTATTTTTTTTCTTTATTCATTGTCTTTAATGAAATACAAAAATGTGTCTATACATTATGAAATAGCAATGATATGGTAAGGTAGTTAAATGGTCATACGTGATTTCAACAAAATGCAAAATGTAAAATTTATTTATGTAGAGTTGTCTCAAGAGCCCAAAATATATTTCGGCCCAACACAACCAAACCCTACCCCTTTATAAATCAACTTGGCTGCCTCTGCGCCGATTCAAACCGAGAAACCTAGATCTCAAAGGTAAGCATGTGTGGAGACGATAATCATTTCAATTTCTTCTTCTAGCTGTTTCAATTTCTTCTTCTAGCGTGAGAAGAAATTTTGTTGGTATTCATTTGGCGTGCGTTCAAGACATCGAGACTATTTTTTTTTTTTTTGAGAATATTTATAGATTTTTTGTTTGTGGCAATTTGAAGGTGGTAGAGTGAAACAGTTGTTGTGGTGGAGCCCGAACAAACGAAGGACTTACGGTGAATTTGGTTTATCTATCTTTCATATTTTAAATATTAAGAGCTAAATTGAATTCATACGAGATCCTTTGCATAATTTATATCATCTTATTATTTTAAGGTGTCGACATTTTAGTTACATATTTTTTAACTTCGGCTATAGAATAATGAGATTCCTCAATACACACTACCATCTGTTAAGAAAAAAAAAAAAACCACTGATTATAATTATTGTTTTCTTTTGTCATCAAACACAAAGGAAAACAATAATTTGCTTCAAATTATATTCTTTTCAGATAGTCAGAGTGTGTTTGGTACAAATAAATGAGATTAGAGAAATGAAAAGTCTCATTTCGTTTGTCTGGTTGAGCAAGAGAATTGACCGTTGAGAAATAAATCATTTCTTATTCTCTTATTTCATTTCTCTGTCACAAACAGAAAATGCAGAGAATTGAATATTGATGCAGTATATTTAATTATTTTAATATTTTTTAAAATTATATTATTTCGATTTTACAAAATATTATATTTAATTTATATTTTAAATATTTAATTCTTACGATTTTTTAAAAATTACACTAAAATTTAATCTTACAAATATTGTAACTAATTTATTATCTAAACAAAAAAAAAAAGGTGACAAAAAATACTTCTCATAGATTCTCAATTGTTAAAACTTCTCTTGATAGCTGCATCTTTTTACATTTTTCAACTGAATTATTTGTTTTACCAAAGTAAAGAATTAATTCTCATTCTATGTCAAATCTTTTTTCTCTTTGCAATTTCATTCTCTAGTCTCATTTTTTTACAATTTCATTCTCTATACCAAACGTCCCTTACTATAAATTACTCAAACACCCGTTACCCCATTTTCTAGAACACTTTGACAAATGAGAAGTAATTAAGAATCTAAAAGAAAATTGACAAAAAAAAAAAAAAGAAAAAGAGTATTTGATTCTTATTTAATTTGTCAATGTGAAAATTTTCAATTGTCACAACATTTTGCAATAGGCACAACATATGTAGTTTTCATTGCCCATAATTGTTGATAAAAGAAGAATATGTTGTCATTCATTGTAAATTGAATTTAAACAAACAGTCGCACACAAAAGAAATACATCGGTAGCCAATGAATGGTGCGGATATGTGCACTAAAAGTCTTTCAAGAGACAAGTTCGAGTTCTGCATGATGGCTGCAGGGTTGGTTGCCTCCTCCACATAGTCAGAAGTGGGAGAATTGTTAGGTTTGGGTTCCTTCTATATGTAAGAAGTCCAACAATTTAAGTTAGCCAAAAAAGAATTAAGAGCTCACTTTTGTCAATTGTTGCCCTAGCCATCATAGTTGGGAGAGGGGTCAATTAGGCGTAGGATTTGAGAGAGACAATCGTTATCCACGCACGCGAGAGAATCGGTAAGCAAAAGAGAGTTTGTTCAACTCGGTTCCGATCAACGGTCTCGTCATCTTCGGATGTTCTTTTTGGTATCGTTGATTTCTCACTATTTGTTGGGATTCGATTTTGAATCTTATTGGTTGGGGATTGGAATGAGTTGTTAGTAGTTGGGAGATCTCTTGTGATTGGGGTTCGATTCTTGTAATTGGGTGTGGAGTTTGATAGCCCTTCTGGTTGTGGTTATCTTTGATTGTACGAACTTTTTGATATAGTGGATTTTGCCTTGGGTTGGGTGATAGACCTCGTGGTTTTTATCCTTTACTTTGAAGGAGTTTTCCACGTTAAAAGTTTTGGTGTCTCATCTTATTATTTCCGTTGTTTATTGGTGGTTATCATTATCGTACTTTGGCACAAAGGAGAATAGATTGAAGAGAAAGGTTTTGGGAACAGTTTGAACACCCTGCTTAGGCGTGACCACGCTTAAGGAATACATCGAATCTGATTTTTGTTTCCATTTGGTCTTCTTCCGGTATTCTCCCAACATAAAGTGGTATCAGAGCAAGGTTGTTTGGGAGTGTTATTTACTATTGAAAGATGGATGTGAACTTGGGAAGAATGGTTTGCTTAGATGGAACAAACTATCATGTTTGGAAAATGGAAGATAATTGATCTTCTATATGTGAAGAAGTTACACGGGCCAATGTTTTCTGCGGCAAAGCCTGATACTGAAACTAGTGATGCAGATTGAAAATTGGAGCATCGACAAGTACAAGGTTTCATAAGGCAATGGGTAGAAGACAATGTTTTGAATCACATTGTGAATGAGAACAATGCCAAAACATTAAGTTGTTTCTACTCAAGCAGGCTATGTGATTGAGTTATCATGAGAGCAAGTCCATTTCCGATCACATAAATGAGTTTCAAGGATGTTTTGATCATCTGTTAGGCATGGGAGTGAAGTTTGATTATGAGGTACTTGGTTTGTGGCTACTTAATACTATTCCAGATTCATTGGAAGGTTTTAGAGTCTCTTTGCCTAATTATGCGCCCGATGAGATAGTCACTTGGGAGTTTATCAAAAGTGTCATTTTGAATGAAGAGGTGAGGAGAAAGACTCTTGGCACTTCATCTTCTTATTCGGAGATCCTAGTTACGAATAATAGGGGGAGAAGTTGGAATATAGGCCGAGATCATGGGAATCGAGAAAAGAGTCGAAGAAGAAGTAAGTCGAAGCCAAAATACAGAGACCTTGAGTGTCATTATTGTGGCAAATGGGGATACATCAAAAGGTATTATTTCAAGTTGAAAAAAGAGCAGAAAGGCAAGGACAACAAGTATGAGCAGAAATATGATGATAGGAGCAATGACCGTGTGAATACGACAATGCCGGAGGATCTCGTCATTGTGTATGAGGAAGAGGGAATTCATCTTACCCAAAATGAGACTAGTTGGCTTATGGATGTTGGAGTTGCATTCCATGTGATTGCCAATAGGGATTTATTCACATCATATACTCTGGGAGACTTTGGAGTCTTGAAGATAGGAAATGATGGCTAGGCGAAAGTAGTAGACACAGGAACAGTGTGTCTGGATACTAGTAGTGGATACACACTAGTGCTGAAGGATGTGAGGCATGCTCCCGATGTTCGACTGAATCTAGTCTCCACTGGTAGGTTGGATGATGATGGATATTCTTGCCATTTCAGTGATGAAAAATGGAAGATTACCAAAGGTTCTATGATAATTGCTTAGGGTAAGAAAAAGTCCAATTTATATTGGTTTCATGCTATTATTTATGTGAATGGTATTAAAGCAGTTCAGAATGGAAGTTCTTCGAGCTTATGGCATAGGAGATTGAGTCACATTAGTGAGAAAAGACTCAATACTTTGGCGAGAAAGAATCTAATCCCTGGTGTTAGACGTGCTCAGCTTGATAAGTGTTCACATTGCCTTATGGGAAAGCAAAGACGGGTTTCCTTTGTCCATCACCCTCCTACGAGGAAAAGAGATATTCTTGAATTGATCCATTCAGATGTGTGCGGTCCTTTGAAGATAAAATCTTTCGGAGGTGCAGTTTATTTTGTTACCTTCATTGATGATCACTCAAGAAAATTATGTGTTCGAGTGTTGAAATCGAAGGATCACGTTCTTGATGCTTTTGTTGAGTTTCATGTTTTTTGTTTAGAGAAAAATAGGTAAGAAATTGAAGTACATCAGGACCGATAATGAAGGTGAATATCGTGGACCGTTTGATGCTTATTGTCAAAAGCAATGTATTCGACATCAGAAGACGGCTCCTAAAACTCCGCAACTAAATGGCTTGGCATAAAAGATGAATAGAACATTGATAGAGAGAGTCAGATGTGTGCGACGAATGCTAAATTGCCTCAACATTTTTGGGGTGAGGCTTTATATTTAGTTGCTCGCATTATTAATCTGATTCCTACAGTGGCTTTGCAGACAGATGTACTTGAGAGAGTTTGGTATGGAAAAAGAGTATTTTATGATCACATCAGAATTTTCAGATACAAGTGTTTTGTTCATCTGCCTAAGGATGAGGATCCAAGTTGGATGCTAAGACTCGACAGTGCATTTTTATTGGTTATGGTGATGATGAATTTGGCTATAGGTGTTACGATCCTATTGAGAAAAAACTTGTCAGAAGCCGTGATGTTGTATTCATGGAGGATCAAACGATTGAGGACATTGAGACAAACCATAAGTCAAATGTTCAAAATAAAGACTTGATTTATTTGGATCGAGTTCTTACACCAAAATTGGGTGGTGATGAAAATCAGTTTGTCGGCGATGATGCTATTGATGGTGTTGATGTTTGTCCGGATTACTCTGAGAATTTGATGGATATGCCAGAATCTTCATTGAGAAGGTCTACCCGGGATAGACAACTCTCCACTAGGTATTCATCTACGGAGTATGTGCTCTTGACCGAGAATGGAGAGCCTGAGGATTATGAAGAAGTCGTTCAGAGTCCTGAAAAAGAAAAATGGATTGTTGCTATGAAAGATGAAATGCAATCCCTATATGCTGATGACACGTATGAGTTGGTTGAGCTTCCAAGTGATAGAAGGACCTTGAAAAATAGGTGGATCTATAAGGTGAAGCATGAAGAACGCTCATCCTCTCATCGATACAAAGTCAGACTTGTTGTGAAGGGCTTTAGTCAGAAATATGGTGTTGGTTTTGAAAAGATTTTTTCACCGGTTTTCAAGATGAATTCTATTCGTGTTATATTGGGTCTGGCTGCTTGTCTTGACTTAGAAGTGGAGCAAATGGATGTCAAGACGGTTTTTCTTCACGGTAACCTAGAAGAAGAAATTTATATGGAGCAACCTAGAGATTTTGTGGTGAAATGGAAGGAGAACCATGTATGTTGATTGAAAAAGAGTTTGTATGGGCTTAAACAGGCCCCGAGGCAGTGGTACAAGAAATTCGAATCTGTTATGATTCAACAAGAGTACAAGAAAACTGATGCCGACCCTTGTGTCTTCGTGCAGTGGTTCTCAGGTACTGATGTTATCATCTTACTTATTTATGTAGATTATATGCTCACAGTAGGCTCTTCAACCTCGAAAATAAATATTTTGAAGAAATAGTTGAGCAAGCATTTTGCCATAAAGGATTTGTGGCCAGCTAGAAGTGTTCTTGGGATGTATATTTCTCGGAATAGGGAAGAGAAAAAGTTATGGTTATCCCAAGAAAAATATATCAAAAAAGTGTTGCAGCGTTCAACATGGACAAGGCCAAAGCTACTTCTACCCTGCTTGCTGCTTCGTTTAAATTGAGTGTGAAGCAGTGTCCTTCTACTTAGAAAGATTAGGAAGATATGCAACGGATTCCTTATGCCTCAGCAGTTCGAAGTTTGATGTACGCCATGGTGGTGTGTACTCGGCCGGACATAGCTCACGCAGTTGGTGCTGTCAGTCGATTCATGTCGAATCCTGGCAAAGAGCATTGGAGTGCATTGAAGTGGATTCTGAAATATCTTCGGGGAACTTCAAGTATGAGGTTGTGCTTTGGTACTGATAAACGGGAGCTTGTTGGTTATACAGATTCTGATATGGCCGAAGATCTTGATAATAGAAGTCTACTTCTGGATACTTGATAACTAATACAGGGGGAGCTATTTCATGGCAGTCCCAATTGCAGAAATGTGTTGCATTCTCTTCCACCGAGGCGGAGTTTATTGCTGCTACCGAAGCTTACAATGAGTTATTATGGTTGAAGACGTTTGTGAGTGAAATCGGTTTCGCTCAACAAAAGTACATTTTGTATTGCGACAATCAAAGTGTGATTCATCTTAGCAAAAATCCGACATTTCATGAGAGATCGAAACATATTGATACAAGATATCAATGGATTCGAGAGATTTTGGATTCTAAGTTGATTGAAGTTGATAAAATCCACACAGATGAAAATGGTGCGGATATATGCACTAAAAAAGTCTTCCAAGAGACAAGTTCGAATTCTGCATGATGGCTGCAGGGTTGGTTGCCTCCTCCACATAGTTAGAATTAGGAGAATTGTTGGGTTTTGGTTCCTTCTATGTGTAGGAAGCCCAACAATTCAAGTTAGCCCAAAAAAAATTAAGAGTCCATTTTTGCCAATTGTTGCCATAACCGTCATAGTTTGGAGAGGGGTCAATTGGGCGCAGAGTTTGAGAGAGACAATCGTTATCCACGCACGCGAGAGAATTGGCAAGTAAGAGAAAGTTTCTTCAACTCGGTTCCGATCAACGGTCTCGTCATCTTCGGATGTTCCTTTTAGTATCGTTGATTTCTCACTGTTTGTTTGGATTCGATTTTAAATCTTATTGGTTGGGGATTAGAATGGATTGTTAGTAGTTGGGAGATCTCTTGTGATTGGGGTTCGATTCTTGTAATTGGGTGTGGAATTTGATAGCCCTTTTGGTTGTGATTATCTTTGATTGTACGAACTTTTTGATATAGTGGATTTATCCTTCACTTTGAAGGAGTTTTCCACGTTAAAAGTTTTGGTGTCTCATCTTATTATTTCCTTTGTTTATTGGTGGTTATCATTATCGTACTTTGGCACAAAAGAGAATTGATTGAAGAGAAAGGTTTTAGTGGAACAATTTGAACACCCTGCTTAGGCGTGAACACACTTAAGGAATACATCGAATCTGACTTTTGTTTCCATTTGGTCTTTTTCCGGTATTTTCCCAACATGATGAATATGTAATAATGTAGATGATCTTGTTTCATTGTAGAAACAACAACAATGGGCTCGCCTCGATCTCCAGCTTTCTCATCGGCAAATTCTTGGGTTTGTCATCTTCTATCTTTCTTTGGTTGATTGTTTTCAATATTTATGTCAAATATATTATTTTCCTTCCATTTGTCTTTTACGTCATTATATTTAATATTAAAAATATCATTATATTTGTATAATTTACTCAACAATGTCATTGTATTTGTATTATAAGAGACTAATAGAGGTGTTTTTGTCTTTCTCTCTTAATTTGTACTACGTATTGATATAATAATTTATATTCAAATATTATTACGCAAAAAGCTAATGATACTCTTCTTTTGGGACGGAGGTAGTATATTATAATATTTTTATTGAATCTAATGTTCTTTCATTATAGTTTTCTAAATTTTTATTATACAAATATATTGGTATGGAATTTAAATTGAATCATTTACATATTTTTTTTTTATTTTTCGTTTGGTAAAACTTTAAACACAAATCATGTTGATTTGAAATTTGGGTGAACAATTATCCGTTTTACCTATAAATATTTGAAAAATGAGAAGTTGTGTACTTATCAAAATTTCCTATGAATAACTATGTAAATTTCGATGTATTGTGAAAGACCGAAGACAATATGCCATCGGGAGATTCTGCTACCTATCTCAATGATTGGCCATATACGAGTTTGTTCCCCACGCAAGTAATTGAACCTTTGGTATGTAATTTTTATCCTTATTACGAGCAACTAAATTTATCTAACTATATTCTCTCTATTATTTTCCATTAATTTCTCTAAAAAATATTCATGTTTAATGTTGAAACCAAAAATAACGAGTGCCCAACTTTCTATATTTATTCTAAACAAGAAAGGAAAATATAATAATAATAATAATAACAATAATAATAATAATAATAATAATAATAATAATAATAATAATAATAAATAAATAAATAAATAAATAAATAAATAACTAGGACACAATTTAACATATGATAGACATATGATGGTATAAGAATAGGTTAAAAGTTTTATTCTAAATTCCATCTTACATTTTAGTTACTTTAATCCAATGAAATATATTATATGAAATGCTTGGCATGTCTTAGGATATGTTCTTTTACTCAAAAGAACATATAAGCATAGATGTTGAATTTTCATTTTAGTATGATGTTTAAACATAGAATTTTTATTTTAGTATACTCCAAATTGTTATCATAGCCAATATGATCAGCTGGATAAAAGGATAAACAAAAATTTAGAGATAATATAATTTTTTTTTTTCTTTCATTAGATTCTCTTTCTTTACCAATGAAGTACCTAATGATTTATATCTGTCACATATTTATTTTGTAGGAGGTCCATGGTTCTTTTGATACAAACTCATCCTCGCCCGAAGTTGAAAAAACGTGGAGAATATTTTTTCGACTTTTCCAACGTACTGAACCTCTGAATTGCTATATACTAGAGATGACCGAGGTACATACTTCACTACATATAATATATACAAGTTAATATTATTATTATTATTATTAGGCAAAACATCATAAAATCCATCTGTGGTTTATAAAAATTGTACGAAAATCCCTATTATATTTAAAAATTGTGTCAATTTTCTTATAATTTCAAAAATTTTGCATTTAACCTTTTTTCCACCATTAGTTAATAGTGATAATGAAAAGGGGTGATTTTTGAAATCATAAAAAAGTCTGACATAAGTTTTAAACAATGTTCGTTTGTGGGTTTTAGATTTTGGGTTTGGATTTTTTAATAGTAAAAAGTTAAATTTGAATATTTGTTTGATGTGATATAAATAGAGGTTGATGTGATGTTTTAAATATAAAATAAATTCGTAGTATAATATAAAAAAAATAAAAGTAATTGTTTGATATGATATTTTTGGAGAAAAAAAAAATCTGAATAGTAAAAACATGCGGTAAAATTCACAAAAGAACACGACCAGAGGGTTCCGTGTAATTTTCATAAACCATGGGTGAATTATTTTATACTGTTCTAGCTTATTATTATTATATGTTCTAATAATGGTGCAATAGGTTGATAGCGGAAACATAACGAGATATGAATCAACGGTGCGTGAATTTGAAGTGAGTACTAGGATTCTCCCAGTGGATGAACATGTCGCAAAAATGCCAATGGTTCAGATTTTCAATCCCGTCCATCTTGAGAGAAGAAGCTACTTAACCATCAGCAAACGATTAGGGAACTGGATAGTCGAGCAGTACAAGTCAAATGATTCAGAATCCGGAGACAAGGTAATCAATTTATTGCGCTTTCTTACATGAAATTGAACATATTATAATGTGCATCATATTTGGCCTAATAGTCGATTTTGTGAAAATTCTGTTGTAGTGTTACAAGCATACTATTTTCGGGGAGACATTTTGTTCGATAGACGAAGTAATGACATTTATAATGTGCGATGTCTTTCCTGAAGATTTGAGGATGGGATAAGGTAAACCATAAAAGATCTCTTTCATGAATTTGGCCTTGCTTTGACTTGCTATAAAACTTGCATTGTTTTTTTTTTTTTTTTTCTCTTATTGCTTTACAATGTTGACATGATGACTATTAATGATGTTTAAGAATGTGAATGAGGGTAGAACTCATTTGATGTTGTTTTTTTCATCATCTTTGTTATATGAAATTTGAGGTTTTTATTTATTTATTTATTTTACAATGTTGGTAGGACGAGGGTATGTTTCTTTAGATGGGTTTGAAAAAAATTTAGTTTGGATTTGGTATTAAAATAATGTATGATAAGATGTTTTGTGAAAGAAAAAATATATATTTTTTCAGAGAACGCAGAATCTAAATAGTAAAAATCTAGAATTTTTGGACAAAAGAAACATACTATCTATAAGAATGGGAATGAGGGTAGAACTTATTTAAATGAAATTGGAGTTTTTTTTTTTATATATATATTTTTTGCATTATCTTGGTAAAATTAATTGATTGTACTTTTAAAAATTAGAGTTTGAGCAAATATAGCGTACGTAAACTACTGGGACAGGTCATCGAACCATTTATATATTATGGGTGTGTTTGTTCAGGGTTTGGATTTTAGTTTGAGAAAATTAAAAATTTTAAATTTGAATAGTTGTATAATGTAATATAAATATGTATTGACATGATATTTTGAATGTAAAATTAATTTTTTAATATGATATAAAAAAAATAAAAAATAAATGTTTGACTTGGTATTTTTAGAAAAAAAAATTTGAGAAATAATAGAAATTTGTAAAACTTTGGTAGATGAACTCACCCATATGGGGTTTTAAATAAAAAATAAAAAAAAATAGAATGTGTTTGTTTGAGGGTTTGGATTTTGAGTTGGGATTTGAATATTAAAAATTTTGAATTGAAATAGTTGTATGATGTGATTTAAATAGGTGTTGATTTGATATTTTTTTGGAGAAAAAAATAATTATGATGAATATTAGAAATTTGTAAAAAAAATTGGTAAACGAACACACCCATATGGGGTTAAACAAAAATATATATAGGGTGTGTTTGTTGGGGTATTTGGATTTTTAGTTGATATTTGAATAGTAAAAAAATTTGAATTGGAAGAATTGTATGATGTGGTTTAAATAGGAGTTAATGTGATATTTTGAATATTAAATTTATTTTTAATATAATATAAGAAAATTAAAAATAAATATTTGATATGATATTATTTTAAAAAAAATTTGATTAATAGTAAATTTTTTGGAAAAATAGCATAAACAAAGATAATTGATAAGCGAACAAATGGCTTCATTCAGACGGAGATTTTTTAAATTTTAGAATTTTGAAAATATTTTGTAAATAAAAAAATTAATATTTGATCAAATATTTTATGAAAGTAGAAATACATATGATGATATATATATATATATATGAGTATGTTTACTTTTGATATTTTGATTTTGGGTTTTAATTTTAAATAGTAAAATTTTTAATTGAAATAGTTATTTGATGTGATGTTTTTTAATATAACATTATACTCTTCTGTCTCAAAACCCTGCAATATTTTCTTTTTGGTATGTCTCAAAAATCATTCAATATTTTTAAAATAGAAAATAATTAATTATATTTAATCTCTATCTCACTCGTTATCCCATCACACTACTCAAATAAAAAAATAAAATATACATTTTTCTCTCCATTATATCACTTAATTTTTAAATTATCCTACTTAACACTACTCACCTAAAAACGGTGCCCAAAACAAATGTTGCACTTTGTTTGGGACGGAGAGAATATTTTACTTAATACTACCCACCTAAAAATCGGTGCCCAAAACAAAATATTGCACCTGTTTGGAACGTAAAGAGTATTTTAGTGTAATAAAATAAATAAAAATTAGATGTTTAATTTGATTTGAAACAAAAAATAATTTGAAATAATAAAATCCGTAAAATCTTACTAATAAATAGAGTCAATACTATCAGAGTCTAATCATCCACTGAAAAAAAATCCGGCTCAGCCGGCTTCGGCAGAGACCTCGCCGGCTCCCTATGTTTATTACTCCCTCCGCCACGCCCTTTCCTAACTCCGGAGCCTGAACCTGAACCCGAAACCGGCCGCAAAAGCTCCTTACCGTCGGCCAGCCAATCCGCGGCGACGCTCTCCGATTCTCGGAGCTCCGCCGCGCTCCGCCGCCGCTTACGCCGCCGCCACGCCGCCTGTATAAAACACACGGCCCAAGCTCGCCAATGGTGCGAGTAGAACCGGAATTTTTGCCGCAGCCGTTTGCTGTGCAGCCGCCGGAACTGCCCCGCAACGAACTTGAGATCCTCCGCGCTCAGCGCGAATGCTTCGACTTCCGAAATCGCGCGCACTGTCCGCGTCGACGACGGCAGGACGACGCTCGGCCGAGGGTCGAGGGCCCACGTCAGCAGCTCCTCCCCGCAGAAGTCGCCGGAGCCTATCCTGCACGAGTTAAAAAACCCCGTCCGCCCTCCGTTTGTCGTGTAAGAATCGAGGTTCCCGCGAATTACGAACAGCATTTCATCGACCGGATCGCCCTCGCGGACGAGGCAAGTTTTCGGCGTGCATAGCGCGGGTTTGAGCCTCTCGCATATGGCGTCAAGCATTCTTTCGTCCATTTGGTCGAACAACGGTACCTGTTTTTTCGATCGGACGGACTATGTTATTACATGCTTTAAAGGTCTCGTTTACCTTTTACGTCATTATATTTAACATTAAAAATATCATTTGTATAAAATTTTTTTTATGCACAAATATCATTATAATAGTATTATAAGACACTGATAGAAGTATTTTTGTCATTTTTCCTTGATTTGTACTACGTTTTTATATAATAATTAATATTTAAAAATCAACACGCAAAAAGTAAATGGAACTTTAGAGCTGGACGAATGTAGTAATTTTTTTTCAAAAAGACTGAAACTTTAAGATGATGGTATGGGTTAAGACAGACCCGTCGGACGAGATCGTAGCAGAGATGGCGTTTGATGTCCCGACGGAGGTCCAACGGAAGTCCTTCGAGGAGAGCTTCCTCATCGACGCCTCGTGTCGCCACCCATTTGTATTGGTCATATTTTCGTACCAATTGCCTTAGCTCTTGCGGCAGCTGACGGTGGTGCATCCATTGCTCGGTGTCCATTCTCCGGATTCGCCACTCCTCTAATCGAACGGTTGTCGATTGAAGATACGTCTGCGAACATGTGAATACTCTGTAATATGTTCTACTACAAGAAAATATCATTTTGATAACGAAATTTTTTGTCCCTAAATCCACTTTTTCCGTTACTAATGACATTATTGACGAAATTTAAAGTTCACATAGCTAACGTCATATATTCCTAATTTTTGTTACAAGTATGTTACTCCATCAGTTCGCTAAATTTACTATCACTTTTCTTTTTTGTTCATCTATTACTAATTTTTGTAAAGTCAAATATTGAATATTTAACTATTATTCCCTCAGTCATCCAAATTTATTTCTACTTTTTCTCTCTCTCTTTTTTTTTTTTGTCATTTAAATTTATTTCCGTTTCTTTTTTCATTTTCAGTGAAAACATACCATTTTTTTCTTCTTTTTCTTTACTATAAAAAAAAAAAAATTTCTATTTTTACCCATTTTTTTCTTTTTTTAAATTCGTGCTCGATCAAATGAGCATAAGTTTACATACGACGGAGAGAGTATCATTCATTCAACACTTATTTACCATAATTGTCATTACTTTTATTACATTCTATCTCTTTATTTCTTTTAATTATTAACTAAATTTTTAAAAATATTCTCAACTATTTTTTTATTTTTTTTTACTTTTTCAATAAAATATTATTTTTTTAATTTTCTCACCAAATCCGAATATGCTAATTTTTGCAGACAGTATTTTATTTTTTTTTTTTTTTTGGTCGTAAAGGGATGATCGCAACTGGTAATCAACAACATCGATCGAGCCCGGGATTTCGAACTTACCTGCATGTTCCCGATGAGAAGGGCGAACAGAACGAGGCCGAGCGTCGCTACAACGATAGCAAAACTAATTTCTCCGACATAAGTAGTCGCCGCGAGATTTTGTCCGAGGGAACTGCAAAAGGCATCGATCATTAGCACATTCGAAACTCCGATAAAAATCGCGTAAAAGTTCGTACCTGAGGTTCTTCAACCCCCACCACAGGCAGTAGAAGTATTTGTTGAAAAACGCCGCCGACGTCGCGTCTGAAGTGACGGCATCGCCGTAAATGCCGAACGGATATAACCCTCGACGGGGATCGCATTGTTCGGAAATCGTGCTCGACTCAAACCACGCATTTCTGCTAACGTCGCGAACTCTGTGACAGTCGAAGTACTCGTACCGACACAGAAAATTCTCGCGATCGCAGCCGTGTCGCCAGCAAGCTTCTTGCCGCTCGATCGAGAGGAGATACCAGCAAGCGCCGAGAATCTGGATGTTTAAGACAGCAGCAACAGTAGAAAGAATTTAAGGTTGTAATGAATGGAGAGTTTTTTTTTTTTTTTTTTTTTTTTTTTTTACGGCAAAATCGAAACCTTACATGGCTCGCTAACATGTAGAGCATGAGATTATACGCGGCTCCAGCCCACGCCGTCTCTGTAACAACGCCGGTCGCCTTAACAATTTGTGAGGAAAGCGGGAAAATAAGAAAAAATCGAGGGATGTATTGGAAGATGATGATGAACCGAAGGACATTTTTCGTGTTCATCATCGTCGAGCCGTGTAGGGTCGGGATGACGGCCCAAATCAACACCTACACTTTAATCGCAAAGTTATTGATAGAATCGCGAAAAATAGTAAGAGTGCATTAAACAGTTGTTACTGTACTAACTACAATGGGTTATCACTACCAGAGTAGTGATAACACAATATATAAAACTAACAATAAAAATATATGTTAATATATAATATAAATAAAGTACATTAACTAGTATCGTATGACAATAGTCCATTCAACACATACTAGAATCGATCTAATAACATAAAGTATATTTACACAATATATATATTATCTGCTATATTTTCATATGCTGATTGAAATAGTAAACATAGTTGGTATCAATTCCAATTCAATACTCTAACCATTCCTGAGTATATTAATTGCATGTGTTGAAAAATTATATAATACTCCATCCGTCCGTCTCGAATAGTCATATTTACCTTTTACGTCATTGTATTAAACATTAAAAATATTTTTATATTTGTATAATTTTTTATACAAATGTCTTTCTATTAGTATTATAAGAAACTAATTGAAGTATTTTTGCAATTTTTTCTTAGTAATATATTTTGATATAACAATTAATATTTAAATATCAACACGCAAAAAAATAAATATAGAACCCTTAGAGTCAAATGGAGGTAGTATATAGTTAATCATGCATATCCTTACAAATTAAATTTTTAAGTGAGATGGTCGATACACAATATATCAAAGCATGAGAATTTGTAATAATATTTCATCTGTCCCGTCACAAATAACTAGTTTAATTATTTTTGTCCATCTCATAACCTATTTTTATTTTTAATAAATTTATTCATTATAAACACAATTATTAAATATAAATTAATTAAATTAAATTTTTAATATCTGTAGTAACCACTTGAAATCCTTTATTTTTATTTCTTCTCTATAAACAAATATTTTTTTATAAAATTAATTTAAATTAATTATAAATAAATATATATATTTTTATTTTTGTATTATATAATATTTTATTAATATCCCTATTAATATCCCTATATATTATGCTAAAAATATTTAAATATATATTCTAATTTTTTTTAATTATATATATTAATTCATATTTTTAAAATAGCAACAACTCTATTATTATAAAAAAATAATAAAATATTATAATAACTTATTATTAATAATTTACTAATTTATATGTTCTGGAACAGAAAGAGTAATATGTAATGATACATTTTATATAACAACATGCAAATAAATGTCGACGAAGACGAACCTGAGGCAGAGGAAGCGCGGCAATGGCATCGACGAAGAAGTAGTTACGGAAGTACCTCGACGCTATTTTGGAAGCGTCGATGACAAGCTCGCCTCTACCGAAAACTCGAGAAGAAGGAGCCACGTAGGCGGTGTGAAACCGAATGTAAATTTGTGTTACATAGAAGACATCAGCTATCGATCTTATGATGGTCAGGACAACCTCAAGATCGAATCCTATTTCGATGCATAGGTTTCGATTATGCACGAGAGGTAAGAAGAAGAACAACGGGTCAACAAATAGGGATACTAGAGAAGCTACTAGAAAGATCTTATTCCATCGCCGAATGATAGGTCCTCGAGGATCGTATATCTTTTTCTTTACTTGCTCATAATCCTCGGAGAACACTCGGGACAACACTTTGGCTCTTAATGACTTGTCGATGTCTTGTTTCCGGTCGTCACCGTCGTTGTCTTCCTCGTACTTAATTATTTCGATCGAATTGTCCTTATTTGACATAGGGAATTCGGAAAAATCAACATCATCGTGAAATCTGCGAATATTACTATGTCGATTGAAATTGATATAAAGGAACAAGATAAGATTCGTCTATTGAAGATCGAACTTAATTTTATCAATATAAGTTAAAGTCAAAATCAAAGAAAAAATTGGTGTGTTCGATTATGGGATTTTTCCAAAAATCTACTATTTATCGAATAGTTTCTCTTCAAAAACATCGAATTAAACACCTATTTGTTATTTTTTATATTGTACTGAAAATCAAATTTTGCGTTCAAAACATCACACATCTGACACTTATTTATATCACATCATACAACTATTTCAATTCAAAATTTTTACTATTCAAATCTTAACTCAAAATCCAAACTCTCAAACAAACATATCCTAAATACTTGGGGAAAATTACAAAAAATATCCCGTGTATACCCCGTTACTACTTTGGTCATGTATTTATCTTGCTGGCAAAAAATATATCTCACATGTTCGCAAAACGCGCTATTTCTATCCATTGGCCACGCATGGCCAAATGACAGAAATAACGACTTTTGCGAACATTTAAATATATTATGACAGAGATAAATACAAAAAAAAAAATGTGATAATGAATATACATGGTTTCGCAATTTTCTCAAAATACTTGTAACACAGAAGGTATAGAATTAGGACAATGTAATGTTAGGACATACCTCACTGATCTTGAACTGCTGCTGCTATAAGCCGCCATTGAAGATCAGATATACAGAAACAGAAACAGCTTGTTGGCGTTGCTACAAAAATAAGTAAAGAGATTAGCTATGAATAATCAGCTGTCAGGGAAGATAGAAAATGACAGTGGTCTGAACATTAAAAAAAAAAGACATAACAGATGTGGGTTAGAAATCCTGTGAGGGAGATAAAGTATGGCTATGGAGGATCATAGCTTTTTTAGTATGTATCTGTTTGGGGATTGGGAAGTCAGGTAGAACATGTGACTGATTCATATGATGTCTGTCGATTCTTAAACCCTTTTAACACTGCAATTTTAGAACGGTTCGGTTCTTTTGTGAGTTTTATCAGATATTTTTATTATTTAAATTCTGTTTTTTTTTTAAGAAATATTAAATCAAATAAGTAATTTTTTATATATTATATTTTAAATTTATTTTACATTATAAATATCAAATCAATATCTATTTACATTACATCGAACTCTTATTACAAGGTTACATGCATGATAATCGACTGTTCCTTTGTTCTATATATAAATCTGATCGGATTCTTGCAAGAAAATGAAGGATTTGTTGTGCTGTGTGTAATCTGAAAACATACCATACCAACTTATAGAATCTTATTTGTATATTGGTAAAAAAAATAAAAAATTAAAAATTAAAAAAGTCCGACGGACAAAAGAAAATAATTAAATAATTAATTTTAATTTTATAATAAAATAAAATAAAAACTATACGGCCTGATATGGATACAATACAAGCATTTTTGTTTTGTTGATTCGTAGCTAATACAATTGTATTTGATTCAAATAAAATGTGAATTTTTTAATTTCACTGTGTTATATCAATATTTTTTACATTACTATAAAAACATTATAAACTTTACACAGTTATAAAAAATTGATAATTTAATATAGAATATTTTCACATATCAAATATAAAAAATACATCAAATTAAAAATATTAAATAAATAAGTGTTTTGAGTTTTTAATGGTTTATTTGATTGTTGTTTGAAATTAGTTTGAATTTGAGTATTGATTAGAGATTTTTGTTTAAATACTATTTTCATATGATATTTTGTGGAAAAAAAATAATAATTGTATTTTCATTGAAAATAATACTTCTTTCGTCTCAATATAATAGTCTTTGTTTATTATTTTTATATGTCTCAAACAATAGTCTTATTTCCATAAATAATTATATCACCATAAAACTAACGCTACTTTTTTAATTTTATTACACAATTGCCACTACTATTTGCATTAATACACTCACAATGACAAAAAGTCTTTTATCTATATTTTTTATAAACTATCAATATAATATCAATATTTTTTAAATATCGTAATTAATCCAATTAAGACTATAATTTTGGGACGAATAAAGAATTAGTTACAGTTTGAAATCATAATCAAATGCACTTTATGCATTTTTAATTTCACTGTGTTATATCAATAGTTGTATGATGTGATGTTTTGAATGTAAAATTAATTTTTATAGTAATATAAAAAATAAAAATTAGGTGTTTAATTTGATATTTTTAGGAAAAAATTTTGGATGAATAATATAGTTGTTGCAAAAACCTTCAAACAAACACACCCTATAATAATAATTTTACTTTAACAAACAGACAAAACACATACTAATGCTAGAGCTCTTAGAGGTCCGAGCCGAGCCAAATGTTAAGTGTTCGTTAACGTTCGCGAATAAGGCTCGTGTTCGTTCGTTAAGCTTTCGAGCTCGTTCGTAGTGTTCGAGCTCGACTCGTTAAGAATTTTTGTTGTTTGAGCTCGTGTTCGTGTTCGGCTCATTTAGGTTCGATTAAGCTCGTTCTAGTTCGTTCGAACTCATTTATTCTTTTTTAGTTTATATATAAAATTATAAAAAAAAATTAAAATTATTTTATCTATATATTATTTATTTATAAATTATAATTTTATATGTATATATAATATATATAATAAATTTATTATTTAAACGAACGTTTATGAACAAAGCTCGTGCTCGTTCGTTAACCAAACGAACTTGTTTATGATGTTCGTCTCAGCTCGTTAGCATTCGCGAACGAGCTTTAACTAAGTCGAATTGAACCGAACCAAGCTGAGTTCACGCACAGGTCGGTTCATTTAACAGCTCTACTAATGTCTGTTAGTCCTAGTTTACAGTTATTAAGTTCGGCCAAGATATTAGCATTTTCGGCAGCGACTGCGAATTTTCATATTATTTTAAAAAAATTAATAAAAATAAAAAAATCGATTTTAGAAAACTAATACCTACACGTTTTCCTTACATTACCATAAACAGATGGTGCGATGCTATCACTTGTTTCCGTCTACTTCCTCTTCCTCTGTCATCTTCGACTTCGATAATGGCGGACGCACAATCGGAAGTGGTTTGCGTCACAGGCGCTAGCGGCTGTATTGGCTCATGGCTTGTTCAGCTCCTCCTCCACCGCGGCTATACTGTCCACGCCACCGTCACAAGCCTTGGTCGGTTCTCTCTCTACTTCTCCCTTTCTCAGCCCCCGATTACGATTCAGCTTCTGCATCTAACTATTTTTTCTGATTTTTTAGAGGATGACAAACAAACCAAGCACTTGGAAGCCATGGAAGGCGCTGAATCTCGCCTCCGTCTTTTCCAGATGGATTTGCTCGACCGCGCCTCCATTTCCGCCGCAGTGAAGGGTGCGGCCGGTGTTTTCCACCTCGCCTCGCCGTGCATTGTCGACCGAGTCGACGATCCTCAGGTGAATGCCCTAACTAATAGATCCCCCAAATTCTCTAGGTTTTGAGAAAGTACGTATCGATTTCTGGCTGTATCTGTGAAACCAGCGGCAACTCTTAGATCCGGCCATTAAGGGAACCATTAATGTGCTGACTGTGGCCAAAGAGCTCGGGGTTCGCCGCGTTGTTGTCACTTCCTCAATTTCGGCCATCATTCCTAGCCCTAATTGGCCGGCTGATAAGGTCAAGGATGAAGAGTGCTGGACTGATGAGGAATACTGCAAGCAAAATGAGGTTAAAAATTTCTTAAATCAATCGTATCTTTTGTTTTTTTTTTTTTTGAATGGTTGATAGATTCGTTACATACATATATATATATATATATATGTATGCACCATGTTTAAGATGCAAAATTAGTTGTTCTAAGAGGTACTTTGCATTTTCAGTTAGGACAGGAGTATGTAATGTCCAAGACGGGAACTTTACTCCTTGTCATGTTAGCACATATTTTTGCCGTTTCAATCATGGTGCTAAATTTTCAAAATTAATTTAGGATATTATTCAAGTTTGAAATGATGTAAGCTTGTGTGATGAGTTTTCTCATCTAAATTATGAACTAAGGGTGTCTGATGGTAGGCCAAGAATCTAAATTGTGCAGTAAAATTCGGCTATATATGCTAAGTTAGTCCAGAAGGAGCGAATCATTAAGCAAGTAGGCTATCCGAGTCTGATAAGTTAGTGACTTCTTCTCATCAGCTCTGCAAATTAGATCTCTCAAATGATTTGAAGAAGTTGATTAGATTTTCCACATCCTTCAATGTAGTTTTTTTTTTTTTTTTCAATGTAGTTGCTATCTAAAGTGTGTGCATGCTCGTACATGTCTATCATCGTCATCATCATTTTACGTGTATATGACTTAATTGTTTAAGTTACTAACTCCCTAAATGACATTTAAATATGAAAGTAAAGTTATGATACTTCAGTAGTTAGCGACAAAACTGAACTTTGAAGTTTACTTCTCTTTTACTCAAATGAGAAAGTAAAGATAATGATAGTGCAAAAAAGATGAAGTTTTCATTTGATGGATTTGAAAGGGTTTAAAGTAGAATGATGAAGTAATGGCAATTGGCACCATAGCATGCTTGTTCCTACAAGAAACAACTTATTTCAATTCTAATCCCACAATAAAATACACATATGTAATTTTTTTGTTGGTCACAATTTACGGATATTTTATTTGTGACCAAAATGCATTAATGTAAGTCAATGCTTTTATTTTGCCACAATGGGACAAACTGCTTTTTAAATTGATTGTTACTGGAACAATGGGACAAACTGTCCATTCGTTACACAATTGATTGTTACTGATACAGTTTAGGATGAGTTTTTTCCTTTCCTGTCTCAAAAAATTCATTCCAATTTCAATGTTTGAGACTAGTGTATTTTTGAATCACTGAATTGTCTTCTGTATATTATGAGTTAACAATACCATGTTTCCTTCACTGTGTTAGCTTTGGTATTCAGTCTCTAAAACCTTGGCTGAAAAGGCTGCTTGGAAATTTGCCGAGGAAACAGGTCTGGATATCGTTGTGGTGAATCCTGGAACCGTGATGGGTCCTGTTATCAATCCTACAATTAACGCAAGCATGGAGATGATACTCCGCCTTCTAAAAGGTAAAGGTAATTCAACTTAAGCCATGTTACACAAATTTCTATACATAGCCTCTGTTCATATCCCTGGTAGTCTAAAGTTTGTTATTGAATATTTTTTCCACAGCTAATGTGTTTGAATGTTCTATTAACACTATCCAGGGCTTATATTTATTTGGGGCTCTTTGTGGATGTATATTTATGCATATGTTTGTATATGTATAGGCTGTACTGACATTTACGAAGATGTCTTCATGGGATCTGTGCACTTTAAGGATGTGGCTCTTGCGCATCTACTGGTTTACGAAAACAAATCAGCTGCAGGAAGGCACTTGTGTGTTGAAGCTATTTCTCATTATGGTGATTTTGCTGCTAAGGTGGCTGAACTTTATCCCGAGTACAATTTGCCCCGGTAAGAATTAGATGCACTTAGTACACTTATTCAAATATTTGAAGAAGACAAGAAAGTTATTCTGTTTATTTTCATGTACTTCGTTTTTTACATTCATTGTTTGTGCAATTAGCAGCTAGAGCTGGTAAATAAGTCGGGCGAGTTTAAGTATTTGTTGTTCGAACTTTATTCGAACTTGTTAACAGTACAAGCTCGGCTCGACTCATTAAGAGTTCAAGCTAAAATAGTGGCTCGAACTCGGCTTGTTAAGCTCAAGCATGACTCATAAGGCTCAAACTTGAGCTTGATTCGGCTCAAATTTTATACATATTTTATAAGTTTTTTAATATTCTAATTTTATTCATAATTTGTTATAATAAAATATTTAATTTTTATTAATAAATACAAATTTTGTTATAAAAAATAATACTTCCTCCGTTTCTAAGGGTTACTTTTACCTTATGCGTCATTATATAACATTAAAAATATTCTTATATTGGTATAATTATTTGTAGAAATATTCTATTAGTACTATAAAGCACTAATTGAAGTATTTTTTTGTCAGTTTTCCTTGATTATAATAATTGATATTCAAATATCGATACGCAGAAAATAAATGTAACCCTTAGAGTTGGACAAAGATAGTATATTATATTAATATATAAAATAATATAAATTTATCATCACTAGCGATCTCAATAAAGCTTCCCGTGAGCCGAGCTCTTGGCTCGTTTATAGAAATAATAATTTTTGAGCTTTTTATCTCTATAAATGAGCCGAGCTGAGCTCCTCGATTCGTTTAACAGTTCTATTAGAGGCTATACCCCAATCTCATAGTCGGATGAAAAATCTGCTTTCAATGTGTGTGTTTATTATTTACATTTTGTAGGTTGCCAGAGGATACCACCCCGGGACTATTAAGGGCGAAGAATGCGTCGAAGAAGCTGATGGATTTGGGTTTGGAATTCATTCCCATGGATCAAATCATTAAGGATGCTGTGGAAAGTCTGAAAAGCAAAGGATATCTTCCTTGAAAAGGCTTGTCTGGTTCTATCCAATCTAAGGTATGCATGCTATTACCAGTAGGAAATGTTGTTCTTGTTATGAATGATATGATATTATATGATGCATATTTACCACACCCTTTATATGGCTTATTCATAATAATGATAATAAGAGGCATGGATGTGATTTTTCTTGTCTAAAATTTATGTGGTCAGCAATTTGTTTGCATAAAATGTCTGAATGAAACCGTAGAAGTAGATCTGCATTAAGTAGTGGTAGCAGTTGAAGTTTAAAAAAAAAAAAAGAAAAAAAAAAAAAAAGTAAATTATATAACATCCCTTGTATTTTAGTAAAATGATACTCAATAAATAAAATAAATACAAGGTATATTGTGTATTTTTACTAAAACAAGGGATGTTATATAATTTACTCTATTAAAACTAAAATATGAAATAAAGGAAAAAAATCAATTTTGGTTTCAATGTAAAATTTATCAATTTTGGTCATAACATAAAAAAAAATTATTGATTTTAGTATCGTTATAAATAATTTCAATCAATTTTGATCTCACTGTTAAAAAAAATTAACGAAAATTGTTGATGTAGCAGCTGATCTAGAAAATACAATTATAATTGTTCATGTACAATTATATACGATCATGTTTTCACACGGCTATGTTTAATTTCTAAGTGGCCATGTACCTTTTTGTTTTGATCTAAATTTTTATTATTTTGTTATATTTTTTAAAAAATATATAAAATTTGAATTTAGAATAGTTATAAAACTAAAATGGAAAAAATCAATAGTAATCCTAATATAATTAAAATGTATTAATTTTAATTCAAATATAAAAATTTATAGGATATGTTCTTTTGAAAAATTTTGCCTAGAAGTTCTACTGTTCATAAAAATTTTCTTCTTGCAAATATTTAATTATACAACTATTTTTTATTTTTTATATTATATTAAAATTTTATTTTACATTTCAATACAATTTCAACTTAGATATAATTGTATTGAAATGTAAAATTAATTTTTAATACTATAATATACAAAAATAAAAAATAGTTTTGTAATTGAATATTTTTAAGAGAAATTTTTGGTAAGTAGTAGAATTTTAGGTAAAAATTTTCAAAAGAACATACTCTATCAATTTTTATATTTGAACTAAATTTGATACATTTTAATTACATTAGAATTATTATTAGTTTTTTTTTTTCATTTATTCTAAATTCAAATTTTATTTTTAAAAAAATATATAATAAAAAGATAAAATTTTAGAATAAAATAGAAAGATACACGGCCACGTAGAATTAAACATGACCGTGTGAAAATATGGTCGTGTATAATTGTACACTGAATTATACACGCGGTCGTGTGACAATATGATCGTGTATAATTGTATATGGTCGTGTAATTTTCAAGTCAGTTGTCACGTCAACAATTTTCGTTAGTTTTTTAACCGTAAAATCAAAATTGATTAAAATTGTTTATAACTTTGACTAACATTGATGAATAATTTATATTGTGACCAAAATTGATAAATTTTAGTTATATTAGGACTAAAATTAATTTTTTTTTTTCTAAAATAAAATACATTATACTATCCCGTCCACGAAATTTCATAGATTTGTGTAGAAAAATAATACTCTCTCCGTTCACAAAATCTGAGTTCATTTGAGTTGGATATAAATTTTAGTGAATATATTATTATTTGATTTATTGTGATATAAAGTATAAGTATTTGAGAATCAATCAGATGCCTCTATTGATCGCTTAAAATTTAATCACATTAAAATGAAATTTTTTGAAAAATTTATTTGAAGATTATTCTTTATATTTCTTGCATTTTTACTTGCATTTTTTGTTTTCAACGTAGAAAACTTATGTCCTTAGGATATAAACATGGTAAATTATATAACATCATCTTGTATTTTAGTAAAAATGCATAAAACTCTCTGTATTTTATGTATTGCGTAAAACCACGGTTGTGTTAATATAAAAATTGCATAAAACATCTTCTTTATCTAAAGTTGATGTTTGGTTTTAAATAAAGACTGTTTTATACAAATAAATAGTATAAAATATTATAAATACTTTTTTAATAAAATAAATAATATATTATTTATTTTATTAAAAAAGTATTTATAATATTTTATGTTTTTTATTTGTATAAAATTTATATAATTTAGGTCTTTATTTAGACATCAGCTTTGGACAAAAAATTATATTAACAAAAGGGTTTTACGCAATAAATAAAATATAGAATGTTTTATGCATTTTTACTTAAAATACAAGGAGGTGTTATATAATTTACCCTTAAAAATGAATTTTGTGTTTCAGCCTGAATTTTACAATATATTGATAATTGTTGCAATTAATAATTTGAAGCAAAATCTCATATCAAAATATTCATTAATCCAAAACACAAACAAAAAATGCCCTAAGTAAGTAAATAAAATATACTACTAAAAAAACACGTTCAAAATAGTTAATATTGAAAAATATAGTGGAAAAAATAGTTTTATTGCAAGAAAAAATCTCAAATAGTATATATATTTGAAAAAAATATATATTTATAATTAATTTATTTTATTTCATATGCTAGATATAAAATCAATATTATAATCTCTTTTAAAAATTATAATAGTAGATGTTTTATTTCAAATTTTTAATGTGTAATCATAGTCCTAGAGTGTGTTTGTTTAGTATGTATTAGATACACCATTTTCTCACAATATTATAAAATAAATACGATAATTAATATCATATATATATATATATATGCCTAATAATGAAAATATCCAAAACATCATTTTTCTTTATAAAAATTTCACAATATTTTACGATAAAAGATATAAAACTATAAATACCAAAACAACGCAATCATAAATTTTCTATTAAAAAAAAAATAAAAATACATTTTTATGTATAAAAGGATCATACCTAAAATATTACTGTATTCATATAAAAAAAAACTTTAAAATAATGCAATGTTATTATTTTTTTATTTATTAAATTCTTTTTATATTAATTTTTTATAAAAAATTAAATAAATCAAGTATGTAAACAATATGGGTTTGTTCATATTGTGTTTTTAAATTACACAATTCTTTTATAAATATTATTTAAAATATAATATATACACACATTAATACTATATACAAATATATAAAAATAAAATAAGAGTATTTGTAAAAAAAAATAAAGTATTTAATTAAATGTTTATTTTGTAATTGGACATTCCAAAATAAAAATATGTATATTTTATAGAGGAGGGAAAAAGTAATATTTTATGTTGAATGATTGACTTTTATGAATAAATAATATATATAATATTAATATATGTATATTTATATTTTAATAATATTTATAAAAAATTGTTCCATTAATTAATATGGAGTGAATAAATTGAATATATTCTAACCTAATAGTGACAGCACCACACATAATGATATTAACATAAAATATTTTATTTAAGGATTGGTTACAAATGCATAGCATAGATAACACGTAATAGTACGAATTTTAATATGCGACATTTTAATTAATTTTTTTTTTTTTTTTTGGTATTTTCTACCATCTATAGTATAAAACAAAAAAAAAATAAAAATAAAAATAACTGAAAAATAGTACTCTCTCAGTCCCGTTATAAGGGGGGCGTTTGCTTTTTGTATGTAGATTTTTTAATATTTATATGTAGATTTTTTAATATTAGTATTATATTGGATTGTAGTAAAAAAGACAAAAATATCCTTATAAGTATGGTTTAATATAAAAGTAATGGGATTTGTGTAATATATTGTAACTTGAAATGATATTTATTATGTTAAGTAGATAGTATAATTACTAAATTAGGAAACAGTAACCTTGTTTTGGATCGGACGAAAATACTTTTCAATAGGACGAAAAAAATATTAATTTTTTATTATAAAACAAAAACATTTTTATAACAAAAAAAAATGAACATAATTGTAGGTTACCGAAAAGGTATTGTCTTTTTATAGAATAATTATATAACACACTTATTTTTAAAAAATATTTATCCGAAAATTAATATGTTAATTGGTTCCGGTCAATATCTAACAAACTTATTATTTAAACATTACAATTGTATTATATTAAAATAAATTATATAGTATAATTTTTAGCTCTGTCGCGCTTATTTTTAGTAACAAATCATATGTAACAAAAAAAATTTAAAAATATCGAAGATTAGGAATAAGTCAGTATACGGAATTTATACAGTATATCATATACAATATAGTATTTTGGCATACTGATATACTGAAATTTTTGCTATGGTATTCGATAGGACATATATATATTGTACTGATAATTTGTTATATTAAATACCAAAATAACAATTTATTTGATATAGGATTTTGCCGATATACTGAAAATTTTGCTATGATATTGTGTTATATCAATATAGTATCAAAAATTAGATACTGACATATTATGTAAACAGTACTGATAATTTGTTATATTGAATACCAAAATAACAATTTATTTTATATACTGAAAATTTTGATATGATATTTTGTCGTATCAATGTCATATCAAAAATTCGATACGACATATTATATATGCCGATCTCTGATAATTTGTTATATTGAATACCAAAATAACAATTTATTTTATAAATATCATATTATACTTGAATTTATAATATTTTTGGCATTTCGATCCTCGTGGACTGTTTTTTTTGTTGTTTTATACGGTAAAAAAACACAAACAAACAGACAAAAAAAAAAAAAAAAATCTCTAAAATACCATAAAAAAATAAATATGACTAGAAAGCAACAACAGAAAAAATGTTGTGTAAGTATAATTTTATACGTGTGCGTGTAATTAATTAATTTATAATTTACGTATTTGTCCTCGGCAGCGCCACCGCCTTCCTTCCTCTCTCCGCTCTCTCTCTCCGCTGCAACCGTTGGCGGCGGATTCGCTCTATAACGATTCTCCGGATATTTTTCAGGGTGCTGTGAGTGAGCGTGGACTGCTGATAGAGCTCTGAGGGTGATGGATGGAGTCAAATTTTGGTAACAGAGTACACATATTCTATGACTGAGCACCTATTTTTGCGAAGTAGTTGTGTTTATCGTTAGGTTTTTTATGTATCTGAGTACTGGAATCGAGATTTGCTTGCCTTGTTAACCGCTTGCGGAATAATCGACTTTGTTATCTAACAAGAATCTACATTTGCTGTATAAATTCGAGTAAATGGAATGCGTCGAATGTGGCTTGTTTTTTTTTTTGGTTCTGTCAGTGTTGGTGTGGACAGATAACCTTCGCAGTTCGACATACACTTATCGTGTTTCTATGATTTTGTTTCGTCCAAATGAGCAAGGTTTCTGTCAATTCAATTATCTGTTTGATTTTCAGTTTACATTTTGATGGAAACTAATTGAATTGTGTGTTTTATCTGTTTTAGTTTTAGGTTGAATGAATGTTATCAGTAATTGCGATTGTTTCAATTTCTTGCAGAAATTGTTGAGAGGAATGGAAAACAGTAGAAGAGGAGTACCTATGGCGGAGGTGAGTTTAGAGATGTGGAAGGCATGCGCCGGCACCTTGGCCCAATTGCCGCCGGAGGATTCGAAGGTATATTATTTCCCCCAAGGCCATGCTGAGCACACTCTTACTACAATGGATTTTGGGAATTTCCCCAAAATTGCATCTATGATTCCCTGCAGAGTGATTAGTGTGAAACATTTGGCCGATTCTGAAACTGATGAAGTCTACGCTAAGATGAAGCTGATTCCTCTTGAGAAAAACGAGTGTGTCTTTGGTAATGATGGTAGCGATGGCGTCGGAGAGAGAGGATCTTCTAGTACTAAAAAGAAATCGTCTTCCTATGTGAAGACACTGACTCAGTCGGATGCCAACAATGGTGGAGGGTTCTCTGTTCCTCGCCACTGTGCGGAAACAATCTTCCCGCCGTTGGATTACAATGTCGATCCGCCTGTCCAGAATTTGAAAGCGAGGGATGTTCATGGGATGGAATGGAACTTCAGGCATATCTTCCGGGGAACTCCGAGGAGGCACTTGTTGACGACTGGATGGAGCTCTTTTGTGAATAAAAAGAAACTGACGGCTGGAGACTCAGTTGTGTTTGTGAAGGATGAGAATGGGGAGATTCTTGTTGGGATTCGAAGGTCGAAGAAGATTGGATTGTTTGGTGGGAATGAGTCCTCTTCTCCATGGAACTCGGGGGTTTTTGGAGGGTTTTCCTCCTTTTTGGAGGAGGATGAGAAGAACCTCGATGATACAAGTGTTGGTAGTGTAAATACGAGGGATAAGGGTAAAGTGAAGCCTGAGATGGTGCTCGAAGCTGCATTCTTGGCTGCTAATGGCAGCCCTTTTGAGGTTGTCTTCTATCCACGTGCAGGCACGCCCGAGTTTTGTGTGAAGGCTTCGTTAGTGGATCATGCTACAAGGATCTCCTGGTGCACTGGACTTAGGGTCAAGATGCCATTGGAAAGTGAGGATGGAGCCAAAATAACTTGCCATGTTGGAACTGTAAATGCTGTTCAGGTTCTTGATCCCGTCCATTGGCCTGTTTCATTTTGGCGATCGGTTCAGGTAATCGATTTTTTATTAGTAGGTTCCTTATTCCTAACTTTATTGGTTTTCTATGATAATTGAACTCTGAAATCTCTTTTTATTTTTCCAATCACATCATGCTAGCTTATGAATAATGATACGCTACGTCGCACATATATTTGATTTAAGCACAATTTGTTATTCTAGATTAGCATTTGCATTTGTTATTCGATTTATAACTAGGAATGGGTCAATAAGAAGGCATTGCTAACTTTATTTGTTTGCTATGATAAATTGAACTCTGAAATCTCTTATTGTGCTTTCAATCACATCATGTTAGCTTACAAATAATGATCAATGGCTAAGATCCTGTCTTTTAGGCCTACGCTACGTCGCATATATATTTGATTTAAGCACAATTTGTTAATTCTAGATTAGTATTTGCATTTGTTTGCCTGTTACAATGATACTGCACATTGTGTTCGTGCTATTTATAACTAGGAGTGAATCGATAAGAAGGCTATTGTTAACCCTGCATTAAAAAATGTGACTTGTGTTGTTGAAAATTGGTTGAATGTGACTATTGTCAATTTGTTATAATCTTGTTTACTCTAGTTTTAGTGTTATAATCCCTGCTTCCGGAGAAAACAATGAAACACAAGAGAACTCTTCCAAACTCTCTCTAACGGATAGTTTCTGAAACTTCTGCAGGTGACATGGGATGACAATGACCAGTTGCAAAACATGAAATACATCAACCCTTGGCTTGTCGAGACAAATCCAATTATTCCGCTTATCAGTGTTCCCCCCTTCGGACCAAGAAAGAGGATGCGTTTGCAGCACCACTCGGATTTCCTGCTTGATCCCCAATTTCCAATGCCATCATTCTCAGGCATCCCCCTAAGTTCGAGCAGTTCCTTAACCTGCATTTCCAACAGCTTTTCCGCAGGCATACAGAGCGCCAGGCAATCTCAAATTGGAGTCCAGTCATTGGATCTCCACCTTAACAACAAACAGCCGATCGGAGGACTTCTGAAGCCCAATATTCCCAATACAATGGAGAAGGATGTTGTCGAGGATAAGGGAAATATATCCTGTCTATTGACCAATGGAAGTTCTAGTCAGAAGACGAAAAACAGTCCATTCTTTATCTTTGGTCAGCGGATACTCACAGAACAGCAGATTTCTGAGCTGTTTTTGCACTGTCATTCTTCTGAACTTACTCTCGGCACTGGACACTGTAGGGTTTTCCTGGAGTCGGAACATGAAGGCCGGTCTCTTGATCTATCTACACTTGGCTCGTATGAAGAGCTGTATGAAAAATTACAAGAAATGTTTGGGATTGAAAGTGTACAGATGCCGAAGCGTGTGTTTTATAGTGATGCATCCGGCGCTGTTAAACAAACTGGCCGCGAACCCTTCAGGTAAAAAGGCAATACAGATTATTGTCTGTTCATATTTATAGTGTTATATATATATGTGTAAATTATTGTTAGTTCATGCGTTATATTTGTATTATATTAATGTAGATTCTATGTTGTCTATTGTCTATTATATTGGGATTGAATTACGAAATTTAGCACAGTAACTACAAGTCTTGATAGTCCAAATCTGTATTTAATGAATTAATTGGTGGCTATGTTATTGGACAGTGAATTTGTGAAAGCAGCCGAAAGACTGGGCGTACAAAGAGGTATTTCCTCTGTCATTCAAATTTATTTATTTTTTTTTTTTTTCATTCAAATTTATTTCCGTTTTTATTTTTAGTGAAAAAATACCACTTTTCTATTTTGCTTTTATATTTTTACCCACTTTTCTTTTAAAATCGTATCTGATCAAATGAGCACCAAGCGAGTAATAGAAATGAAGTTGAACCAATTTCTTACCTTAAAAAGAATTGTAAGATTATATATATAAGGGAAGATGTGATGTGTTTGTTTGTATTTTTTTCAGTAAATTAATGACGGGTTTGGCGAGCGAGGAGGTCGGTCGGTCTGGAATCGTCGAAGCAGGCGGGAGGAGAGCTATGTATGTATTTTCCAGAAGAGGGAATATTATGTGGTTAGTTTTTCTCATCATTATGTTGAAGTTTTTTATGAACTAGCTTGAGCTTGTCCTTTCTTTTTGTGGATGGATTGATTTCATGGACAGTTATAGTTATTGTAGTTACTATGTTTTGCTCTGCATCACTCATAGATGTCTCACAATCTCTCTCTCTATATATATATACATACATACATACATATATTTATGAAGTTGGATGTGCTTTTGATTTTGGAGTTGCTTTGGTTTGGTGCTAGGAGATACATTTACTTTACTGGTGTTGTGATGAGTTTGAAAAAATTGATTTGTGTTTGATGATAAAATAATGTATAATAGAATATTTTGTGAAAAAAATATATATATATTTATATTTTTTCTTGAAAAACAAAATTAAATAGTAAAATTTTGTGGTTTGAAGAATTAAAGAAACAAAAACTAAGATAAAAATCGATTTTTTGACAAATCAGTAACTCTGGCCATTTAAAAGCTGAAAATTTGTGTTTGATTGTAATTTTAAATTAAAATTAAAATTATTTATTTTGTAATTTTCAATAAAATACTACTATTTTTATTTTTATATTATATAAAATACTCTATCCGGCCCTATGACCACTTCAAACCCTATGATCATTTCAAAGTTTATCTTTCTTCTTAAAAATATAAATATTTTTATCATCTTTAAAATTTATTTTTTTATAAAATTAATTTATACTCTCTCCATCCTAATTCAATAATTTTTTATTATTTTTGTCACTCTCAAAATAATAGTCTCATCTTAATTAGCCATATTTTTTCATTATTATTACACAATTGTCATTATTTTTTATACTAATATACTCGGGGCAAAAAAATTATTTATCCTTTTATAAAAATATAATATTAATATTCCTTAAATTTTGTATCCAACGCCATAAGACAATAAGCATTCTGCATATTACTTTTTATTATGATATAATTGTTAAAATATGTAAATATATATTTTAATTATTTAAATCATATATACATTAAATTCATTTTAAAATTACAAATATTATTAATTAAATAAATAATAATAAAATAATATCATAACTAAACATTATTGTCATAAATATCACTAATAAAAAATGTCATAAATAAATAACATTATTTAAATACTAATCATTTAAATAAAAAATTAAATTCATGTTGAATCAATTTGAAACCACAGCAAACAAATAACTCAAATGTATATAAAAATTTTAAATTTTTAAACATTGAAATCTCCATTGATGACTAGTGTGTAAACAACTTAAATATAATAGGTTAAAAAAATACATATGATTACATCTTTTTATGGACAACTAAAATATATAGTAAAAGTGAACAATAAAAAATAACACTTATTTTATATTTAAATATATATAAAAAAATTTACTGTGTATAAATTTAATATAATAAGAACAAACTATTATCTATCTATTTAATATATAATACTCCATATTAAACATTTATTTTAACACTAATCATTGTTCCCAAAACCCTACCTAAAAGCATTCACACATGACATATATAAGTACATCAATGAGCAAATAATCATTCACTAGCAAAAACCGATCCAACCCGACAAACCGACACGACCCGACACGAAATAATTGAGTTTAGATCAAAAATTTCAACGCGATTATCTATACGAATTGACACGAACCCGATACGATTTAGGATTGAAGCTCTCAACTCGAACCCGACACGATAACTCAATTATAATATTTTAATATTGATTAATATATTTATTATATATGTAAAATAATTATAATTTCATAATTTTTTCATAAATTAATTTAAACTAAGTTCAATTTTAAATAATTCAACCTAATTTAAGCTTAAATCAATAAAAATTAACATAATACGACAATATAACAAAAAATTATTTAATTTGAATAAAAAAATTCAACTTAATTATGTATACGGATGAACACGAATCAACCCGAACCCGACACGATTATAAACGAATCTGATTAGAATAGAATAATTTAACCCATTTAAAATATTTAACCCGACACAAATCGAATCATTACCAATTCTATTCACCGTATTCAAGGTTGGTTATTTTTCAATATCAAAATATTAAATGCATTGACTACTCGTGTAAAAGTAATGATTGTTTTAGGCCTAGTTTTGAATGGAAATGAGGGAGCAGCGACATAACTCAGATATGTGCCTACAAATTTCGACCAAACACTACAATTAATGCTCACATTTACTTTTTTCATTTATATTTTTTTTACGTATAAATTTTTAAATATTAATTATCATATAAAAATATAATACAAATTAAAAAAAAAAATTATAAAAATACTTCCATCAGTGTCTTATAACATAAATAAAAAAACATTTGTAAAAAAAATTATATAAAAATATTTAATGTTAAGTGGTGACTTTAAAAGAGGGAATGGAGTGTAATTAACAACTCACCTACTACTACATCACAAAAATCAAAATTTTACCTAAAAACCCCTTTTTAATTTTGTAACAAGAATCACCATTATAGCCAATCTAGCAATTAATTTGTACCATTTTGGTTTGGTAATGATATTCTTATGTTTTAAATAACAAATAGCATAGACCAATTATGACACCAAATTAAATGACAAATTTGAAGTGACAAAGCCATGGAAAGAAATCTTAAGCAGAGAAAATAGAATGTACATAATAGATGATCAATCAATGGAAGAACAAGAAGATGAAGATTTCAACTACATTACCCACAAACAACACACACTCAAGCTTTGCTTTACTTACTTGCACACTCAGATTTGATTCCGTTCATTCGTCGAACGACCAGTTTGCGAACACAAACGCCAGGCAGTGAATGGTGCTTTCGTCCCCCGAAAAAACTTTCCACACTGTCGCTTGTTCGTAAGAGATTTGTCGACCCATGGTCGACAGGCACACGCCGCTCGCCAATTGAGTGAACCCCTGGAAGAAAAATTCAAGATTTTTACATTCGATCGACGGATGAATGCAGTTTGATTGATTCCGTACTACCTGTTGCATGATGTTGGCGAATTCGGAAAACAGCGTCTTGCGCCCGGAATCGTCGAAAATTTTTTCTAATGTGATGTCTTGCAGCGCAACTAGATTCGTCTCCAGCATATCCAGCCCCGCCTGATTTGCAAATGTAAAAACCGGCAAAGCCTGAAAGTAAAAAAATAAAAAATTTAAAAATCGAACGATATTTGATGCGGTACATTCATCATTTCAATACCGCATAATTCAACACAAGATTGCTTACCTTCAACGAGCAGCATAAAATGGCGTCCGGGTGATGCCAAAGTGTCTTCAACACTCCTACATTACCGCCCAAACAATCATCTCTAAGCAGCTCGGCTCCCGAATGGTACCTACAATCGATTTGATAAAAATCTCGTAAAATTTTCGAGAGTTCGAATAAATCCAGCAGAGCCTCAAGAATGTCACCTGTAACTCTGGCAGATCCAATGCGCGAGTGTCAGAGCTTCGGGAGATGCAGGAGATAATCTCGAGCCGACTGCGGGACTCGAACCCGAAGGGGATATGGCCATTGCAACTCTCTGCACGGAGGAAATCACACTGCGAACATACTGCCGTGCCATCATCGCAACATTATCTTGTAGAGTGCTCTCGAATGGGAATTGGAACGCAATGGTCAAGATCGATCGAGCACAGTATGATGCTACCGCATTTTTCCCGCCGTCGTTGCCTGTTTCGAAATTTGCCGTCAAATCAAGCGTCTTATGTGCAGTTGGACCTTCTTGTAGGTCTCCCTGCCAAATGTATCGCCAGTTAGACACAACTATACGATAAATAAGGTAAAAGAATCGCGCTAAATCGGGTGATCGATCGGCAGACTCAACTGGTTTCGAATCCAACGGAATTACACGAAACCCGGAAGGAAGAAGCTGTGCGTCGTCTGGAAACATCTCGTCGATTGGCGCAAACACAAGTTCCGCGCACGTGCTAACCGTACTCTCATCAATTCCGGTGCACATCTGCAGAGCTCATTTCAGAGTATAAACTTAAAAGACACGAAAATCGTCAAAATGGGAATCGAAATGAGGAAAAGTACCTGCAAAAGATGGATGTCCCGCGACATGAAGGCATCTTCGTGACCAAGGGGATGTCCTTCTAGTCGAATAACTTCGAGCATCTGGAGTGAATTACGACAGGATAACAGCATACATTATTAGCTTTGCATCTGTAACGTCGATTTCAATCCCACACAAAATACAGTCGCGGATCAATCTATAAATCTCACCTCCTCGTGTTCAATTGTGTGACCTAATGGCATGATGATTTGGCTTCCGGTAAATCTAGTCAGCCTCATTCCCGGATGTGTATATGTGTTTTTTAGAGCCATGGCATTATAAGCATCGACGTTGAAATCGGCCCACTCGGATCGGTGCTCCCTAAGAAAGCGAACCAGCACTGCCGGAAGGATATTCTAAGGTAGAAATGAAACATCGCATTAATTTACAAAAAATGATCACTAATATAAGCTTAAATTCGAAGCAACATTGACAAGTGTACCTGAATAAGCATAGATGCTTTGGCACAGAGAACACCTCCAAGAACAGAAATCAAATTCGAACTGGCGCTGAGATTCTTAGCCAAGTTTACGGAAACCACAACATCTTCAGCACCATCACAGCTCAACAGGGACCACCCACCGTCGTTGAACCCATTGATAGCATCATTAAAGCCTCTGAAGTAAAACAAACGGAACTATTAAAAACTGTTGTCGACAATAACATGCCATATTAACTTACGGATTCAACAAAAAAATATAAGTGCTGAGAATACCTGCTTAACCTCTGACTAAATGTGCGGAGAACTGCCGGCTGCCGGCCAAGACCATAGACTACCTCACCGCATGTTTCCTGGGCTATCTGACGAATATATTTTAAGGCCTATCGAATTTTCAAGCGAGATTAATTACCCACGAATCACAGTGGAGCGATTAAATTGCACAAGCTGAGCATAACACATTGCACTTACAGCAAAAGTCATTTTCTGTGCCATAATTTTCGAAGACTCGTAGAGTGGCCGTAGCACCTCAGGCACACTCCATGCCTGGAGAAAATAAAAAGAAATGTACGTAAAATCTCAGCCGGACAAGAATTATATTACGGCGTGGTTAAAGAGGGTGCTTGCTACCTCCAGATTAACATGATCCACAATATGAATGATCGAACTTCCACCATCACATGGCCTGATCAAATACCCCGATGGAAGCATTTCGGCTCTCACGAATTGTGTAGCAGCAACTGCATTTGGCCCAGCCCCTGTACCAGACAACGACCTCTCGCATACCTACACAAAGAATGGAGACAAATATCAGAAACTCTTCAATCCATTTACCAAATAAAAATATCCTAACACCACAAAGGTTGATCCTAAAGTTGTACTCACCACAAGACTGCCATTTTCCAAGGTGGTTGTATATCTGAGGGTCCAAAAATCACGAGCAGGAGCTAAAGTAGTCGGACCATACAACTGAAAGTAACAAATGCTTATTAAGTTCTTTAAACAGTAGACACAATCGAGGACAAACTAATAATGAATTTGCCAACACATTACAACCTGTGTATACAGTAGTTCTATGGTTCCTCCATTTCCAGCAGGGAACATAGTGAAAATCTCAATGCTGCGACACTCACGGAACCAAGATGGCCGATCTTTAAGGATCTCTGCAATCTGCTTAGATGAAATGATTCGAGACATTTTAATTTGACCACACAGCAGAATTACAAGCCCCAATGCTTCGGAATAAGGTAAAAACTGATGTGTATGCTTACCTTAGTAGGTTCTAAACTTACAAGACCACAGGCTCGAGCTGCCACTCCACTACAGGTTTGAGAAATGGCAAAGATCCCAACCGAACCCGGACCAGGCTGACAACAGAAAATCAAAATTTGCCTCAATACATAACTGTTTCACTTAAAAACGACAATAAAAGCAGCAGCATTCGCTTTCGGATAAATCAGACCTTCATCCCAGGCATTTGGACCCAATCGACAGCAGTTCCTGTAGCCTTCGTTAGGAACTCCGCCAAGCACTCCTCGGCAATTGAAAGGAGTCTGCCGAAGGCAGTATCGATAATATTACAAGAGACATCATCATCACACATATACGCTCAATTACGTCACGTCTCTCAACACGAGCAAGAACACTAGGGATAATAAAAGTATGAAGAGCTTAAGTACCCTGCAGGGTTACTGGCGTCTCGAAGAGAATTCTGGGGAGTCGTCACTGCTGACTCGCAACTAGCATCGTTAGCCGGGGCAGGTGCCTTCACAAGATTCAACAAGACAGAAATCCATTTCAAAATCCAAAAGTTATAATGCAAGCTATCATCAACAGAATTTTTGTGAAATGATAGTATCAATAGATCGATTATATCAGCGGATATGATTATGATACGATGCATTGTTACGTAGTTTAATCTAAGAATGATCCACAGCTTTCCTTCAACTAGGAATCGAAATTCTACAGGTAAGGAGGAAGGAAAATTACAGTATGCAGTTGTTGGCGCATATAGCCGTTCTCGCAAACGAGGTGGGAAACCTGCTTCTGGAGACGATCATTCTCCTCCATCAGTAGCTTGTTCATGGCAGTTAATTTTCTGTTCACACTCTGAAGTCTAACGGACTCTTTTCGCTGCTTCTCCCGGCACCTACATTCATCAACAGATGATTAATTGATTCTATAGTTACTAAATGCACAAATTCTAATTCAGCTAGGGTTCATATCTCTTAGCTATTATCGAATCAATGATGAACAGCAGAAGCAAGTTCGAAATTCAAGTATCAACGAAGAGAAAAAAGGTATTCAGTTACAGTCTAAAATGGAATTTTCTAGAGCACCTGCGGTTTTGGAACCAGACTTTGATCTGCTTGGGCTCGATGTTGGACAGAATCGGGAATTCTCTAATGAGCTGCTGCCGACGAAGAGAGCTTGGCTTAGGGCACTCGGCGTACACTCTCTCCAAAGCCTCAACCTGCTCCGCCGTGTACCGGACGTATTTCCCGGCGTCGAGATGCTTATCGATGCTCTCACTGCTGCCGTCCCTGTGCTGATGCAACATCATCGCCATTTCTCCTAACACCTTCCTGAAGAGATGGACGGTCACGATTGAGCGGAAAGGATTCTAGAGAAACTGAAATGGCTGAGGAACACAAACTTCGTCAAAAATGGAAACAACAAAAAAATGGCGCAACGAAAGTGTGCACGCAGCAGCGTTGATTGTGAGCTGTAGCCTATAAATCACAAATCATACTTGCACTTTTTTCGAATTCACGCATAAAATCCATCTCCTACAAAATTCTTCACATTAAAAACCCCCAAAACGATTTACAGACAGAGCAGCAGAATTTACCCGCGGAATCTTTCAGCTTTAATTATTTCCTCTGATGCAAAGTTGTTGGTATCTGCAATTAGCTTTTCAGCTTCCAGCAACAACCTCGCCGCGGCTTATTCTCGTTTTCCGCCTTAAATGCCGCGAAAAGCCTAATATTAAGAGAAAGGTGAAAAAGCTTTAACTTTAACAATGGATATTCAAAGGAGGAAGCCGAAGGGGGTTGTAGTTGTTGTAGTTAATCAAGGCACAACGAGAGAGTATCCGGAAGATCTGCGAGAGTAGAAAGGGAAAGGAGAAAACGACGCCGCAAACATGGCGAGAACGATTGATTCAATCTGGGTCAGCCAAGCAAACTAAAACAAAAACGACGGCGGCGAGTCACATTCCACCACCCCCACCGCCATAACCAGCACCTACGTAGCTATCTCACCTGGTGCAGATTAAATTGCAAGAGGAAATAAGATTAGGAGAAGAGGTGCGAGCGATCAAGAACGTTGCAGGAAGGAAGGATAGGAAGCAGTGTGGAGAAGACAGCGGTGGGTGAGCTAAAGAAAAAGGAGAAGACAGAGAGACAGAGAGAGGTAGAGAGAGAGAGGAGTGTGGTGTTTGGTTTTGCTCGAAAATCGAAAATGGGCAGAAGTGTGATTAATTTATGCAGCTGTTGCTGTTACTGTTACTGCGCAGTGCAGAGAGAGAAAGAGAAAGTGAGAGAGAGAGAGAGAGAGAGAGAGAGGTAGCTTATAGCTGCGGCACGGCAGGGCAGCGCCCTCTGGATTCATCTTTCTTTCTATAACATATTTCGACATATAGTTAAAACCCTTGCAGCTTTGAAGATTAAGTATTAAGAATATATTATTAAAAATAATTATCCTATAATATACTTTATCTATTTTGTACGGGATTTATGAAAATAAGACTGTTATTTTAAAACGAACAAAAATTGTAAATAATATTATTCTATTAGAACGAATTGAGTAAATAATTATAGATTAAGGTTAAATATAACTAATTAGTTTAATTAAAATTAAAAAAATTATAAAATTTAAATGAAATTAAAGTGTATAATTATTTTAAAAAAAAATAACATTGGATGTGAAACAGACAAAAAAAGACAATGTAAACACGATAATAGGACGGATGAAGTACATTTTTTTCTCGTAAAACATCAAATCAAATAATAATTTTTTATTTTTTGCAAACTTAAAAAATTCCAAAAGCCTCCAAAAATATCCATTTGGGTTTCTTGTTTAGGGTGTGTTAAAAAATATTTCATCCATCCCAAAAGTACCAGAATATTCTCTTTGGGGACATTTAATAGTGACATGAAAATTAAAAAATAATAGTAATATTATATTGACAGTAAGTGTAAAAATATTTTCAAAAGATCAAAATACTTTTATTTTATGTAATTATTGTGAAAAAGTTTGATAGTTTTATAAAAATATGGGAAGCTTATTACAAAAAATAAAAATAAAAACTATTATTTTAAGACGAACGAGAATATGAGACTATTATTATGGGATGTAAAAATATAAAAATATTTTTAATTTTAAGTATATGACGCAAAAGACAAATGATGTTGGTTTTATCGGAGATAGTATTTTATTAGTCAGTAAAAATATGTAAAAGAAATTTATACTTTTGCCGTTTAATTTTATTTACTACTCCCTCCACCCCAAACACCAAGCACCATGCAACATTTCTTTTTTGGTATATCACAAACACCCTGCAACATTTCTAAATTATGAAATAATTAATTATACTTTATATATCTTCATATTTTATCTCATCACATCACCCTAATAAATAAAATAAAATGTACATTTCTCTTTCTGTCACATCACCTAATTACTCAATTATCTTACTTAATATTTTTCACCTAAAATCTCGTGCCCAACTTAAATGTAACACCTTGTTTGGTAGGGGTGTGCATGGTTCGGTTATTTGTAAATATGCAGGTATTTGATAACCGAACCGAACCGAATAAATACCCAAAATCGCGAACCGTATTCGAACCGAAAATTTCGGTTAACCGAAAATATTTGTAGTCTTTACAAATAACTCGAACCGAACCAAAATTAAGAAAAAATATATAAAAAAATTAAAATTCTAATTAAATAAAAAATATTTGCAAATATTTCAAATATCCAAACCGAAACCGAACCGTATATAATTATTAATATAAATTTTAAAATATAATATTATAAATACATAAATATATTCGGTTCGGTTAACTGAACCGAAAAAAAATATGAAAAATCGAAACCGAACCGAACCGAACAAATATCAAATATGCGGTATTTGTATTCGAACCGAATTTGTTCGGTTAACCAAAAATTCGGTTCAATTCAGTTTCGTTCAACGATTCGACGATTCGGTTCGATTTTTTTGCCCACCTCTATTGTTTGGGACGGAGGGAATATAATTTTTATTTTTTAATTTCGTATATAAAATAATTGTACGTCAGTATAATTGTAATTTAATTAAATTTTGATATTAATATATAATTAATTTTTAAAAATAAAAAATATTTTGAAGCATGTATAAAAATAGTTTTTTAAATTGCAACGAAAAATTATTTATTTTATAAAATATTTTGTATTGTCTAAAATAAAATATATATATATATATTTTATGTATAATTAATATAATTTATTATTAATAAATTATTAATTTGTATTATCTGTATCTCCAAAAAGATTATTCGACTCGAAAGAAGGAAATATTTTTTACTTTTAATACTCCGTCCAGCTAAAAAGTATGCATATTTCTATTTTGTGACGTCCAATTACAAAGTAAATATTTTATTAAATACCTTACTTTTTTCCACAAATACTTTTATTTTACATCATATTATTATTTTTACACCAAAAAGTAAAAGCAAAAATATCATTACATTACTTTTAATTATTCATTATAATTAAAATATTATTATTTTTTAAATACTGCGTTAAAAATAATTATATATATATATATATTTTTTTTTTTTGGCCGGAGGAAGTATTAATTAATAGGCCATTAAACACTAATGAATGGATATTAGTAGTAGTATTTTATTTTATTTTAGTTTATTGAAAATAAGCAGCAACGGCAGCAGCGTGAGCGCACACACACAGTAGAGAGAAAAGCATAGCAGGGCAGGGACTGGGCAGGGCAGGGCAGGGTAGATGGGATGGGATGGGATTAATAGTGTCAGGTCAGGTCAGGTCAGGTCAGGTCAGCAGTGTTGAATTGGTGAAATGACGTGTGTATGTCTATGACTATATGTGTGAGATCTCCGCCGATCTGCTCCTCCTCATTTTTATTATTATTATTTTTTTAATTTTTAATTTTTAGTATTTATGTTTTTGGTTTCTTTAGTAAAATAAGAGAAGGGGTATCAAAAGTAAATTTGTTCCGAAAAATTAAATCCGTTTGATCTGAAATTTTTCAGGTTCGAATTTGGATATTTCAGGTTTGAAAAAAATCAGATCAATTCGAACTTGATATGAAAAAAATTTCTGTATGGTTCGGATCGTATTTCGGGTTGACCTAATAACCTGAAATATAAAAATCAAGTTAGGTTTTGAGTTTCGTGTTTTGAGTTGACCTGAAATTTTTATTATTACTATTTTAATTTATAATATTTTTTATTATTTTAAATATAAAATAATACAAAAATAAAAATAAAAATAATATTTTTTAGGTTAATTTAATTTTTTAAAAATGTTTGAGTCTGTTTCTTGTTGGGTTTGTTTGGATTTCAGTTGATCTGAAACTAATTCAGGTTAACATGAACCAAATCTGAAAGAATTCATATCGTGTTCGGATCTAAGGTTTTAGATCAAATTTTGAGTTCAAATCGGGTTCGAACTGATAATTTTTTGTTATCCCATAGCTCAACCCAACACAAATACGACAAAAAACACGAATGGCCACCCCTAAATTAGAGTCACCGCACGGCATGGCATGAAGAATGATGAATAGACCGCCATCCACTCTGTTCTATCTTCCGTTGAAATATCGCACTCTTGTGTTTGTTTCGTGAAAAATGATTTCAAGATATATTTAAATGTGAAATACTCTCTCTCTCTCCTGTGGGGTGTAGGCATGAGAATAAAAAAATAATAAGGGTGTGTTTATTTGGGGGATTGAATTTAATATGTACTATTTATTTTATTTTTTTCTTAAAAAATATTAAATTAAATATTTATTTTTTATTTTTTATATTATATTAAAAATTAATTTTACATTCAAAATATCACATCAACATCTATTTATATCACATTATATAACTATTCAAATTCAAAATTTTTATTATTCAAATATGAATGGGTGTTGATGTTATATTTTGAATATAAAATTAATTTTTAGTATAATATGAAAAATAGAAAATAGGTACTTGATTTGATTTTTTGGGAGGAAAATTTTGGATGAATAGTAGAATTTTGTCTCAATCCTACAACCAAACACACTCTAAGAGTATTTATTTAAAAGTAAATATAAAATAAAATGTAAAAGATTAAAATATTTTTACTTTGTTAAAAATTTAAAAAATTAATAATAATTAGCAATAATTTAAAAAAAATATGAATAATTTTATTATAAAATGGAGAACACAGTTATTAAATATAAAAATATGACAATTATTTTGGAACATGTCAAAATAGAAAAAACAAGACAATAATTTTGGTACAGAAAAAGTATAAAAAAGTATTTATATAAAATATAAAAATTATGTAAAAAATATATTTTATGTGACATATAAAAAATATAAAAATAATAAATATATATAATATATTGATATTTTTTTAAAACGTATGAAAAAGAATAAAAAAGAACAAAGCCTTCATTTTTCTTGCAAAATCTTAGTTTTGCTTATATACCCAACATATTTTGGAATTTTAAAATTATTTACTTTTTAGAAAATATTATATTCAATACCTTTTTATAAAATATTATATTGAATAATAAATTCTTATTATTTTTCAAATTTTTATATTTTTAATTTTTTTTTTCTATAAATAAGGTGAATTCAACGTACTCATCAATCATGATTTTTAAATTGAAAGTGTTCTATATTTTAAATAAATAAAAAATATATTAATATTGAATTTTTAATAATATTTTTTTTCTCTATGAATTTAAAATACTATTTTTCTATTCATTTCAAAATACTTAATTTTTATTTTTTTAAAAAAATAATCATACACCAATACAAAATATATTTAATTTTTACTTAAATTATAAGTATATTATTACATTTAAATGGCAAAAATATCAAAAACAATTAACATTTCAACTAAATAATAAAATATTATTATTTTTAATTTATTACAAAACTACAAATAACCTCTTTTATTTGGATCCAAAGAAAGTATCAATATATATTTCAAATTAATTTCAAATTACAGTCAACAAACTCTAATATTCAATGTCTTTTTATTTATCTAACCGTTTTTTTTTTACATATAATTTTTTATATATTACTCTCTTCATTTTATATCTTGAATCCATGTTGTCGTTTCAATACGTCCGATATCTCATTCTCATTCATTTTAAATATTGATATATATATTTATCACATTTCTATATCTATTTTTTTTATCCATCCATCTTTTGTTGTCTCTTTTAATTCAAAATTGGTGAGATTTAATTCTA